TCCATCTATCCATCCATCATTCCACCCATCCATCCATCTGTCTGTCTATCCACCCGTCCACCCATCCATTCAACATTCACCAAGCACACTCACTATACCAGGGACTATGCCAGGCCACCAAGACCTGGTTCCTGCCCTCGCAGTCGTATCCAGACAAGCAGAGAGAAAACGGCAGCGTGTGGGAGGGATGCAGAGCTGTGAGAACACACTCATTTGGGCCTTTGCTGGTCAGAAACAGCTTCCTGGAGCAAGTGGCTTCTTAGATGAGAATTGAAGGCAGGAGGTAGGAAAGGAGGGCGTTGGGGGAGAAGAAAGCAGACCTCGGCCAGGAGGACAGACCCTGGACAGGCCCAGAGATGGGGATGGCAGCGCAGGAGTGTGAGAGCGCTAGCATTTTAGTATTTAGTATTTTAGGGGGAGCTTGGGGTGGAACTTATCAGTGTTTATACCAGCAGTGTCCAGGAGCCGGCTCAAACTGGCTCACAACTGAGTCTTCAGTTCTCAGGAGTTTTATGTCAAACACAGCTGCTATTAAAAATTAAGTTAACTTACAGTTAAATAAATAGTCTATTGTAAACAAAGGTAATAAATACTCAAAAACTCATGTCTTTGAAATCTCTTACTACATTTGATTGTCATCTGTGCTCCCATGTCATGTACGCCCGCGCCTGCGTGGTAGAAACAGGACGTGGTGTGCTGCCCAGTGTGCCTCTGGCTCTGCCTCCAGCTGCACACGCGGGGAGCTTGACTCAGCCGTGAAGGGGAGAATTTACACCACGGAAATGAGTGGACGCTGCGGATCCAGGTCCCCCTTCTTCTCCAGAGAGCCAGTTGGTATACATTTATCAGCACATAACTGAGCTAATAGACGTACGTAAAAATGTAGAAATTGCGAGTGTCATCTCAATGTATTTTTCTAAAGTGAACGTATTTGTGTGACCGGCACTCAGATGCAACAATAGGCGATGAGCAGCACCCTCTCCCACCCTGTTCCACCGAGCGGCGCCCTCTCCCACCCTGTTCCACCGAGCGGCACCCTCTCCCACCCTGTTCCACTGGCTGGTCCCTTCCACTGTGCAAGGCTAACCACCATCCTGACCTCCCCAGTGTCTCCTAGGAACTATGGGGGGCTTCTTGCTGCCCCTCACTCCCATAGGTCCCCTGCTGCATTTTGGTGTTAGCATTTGAGTATTTCTTTTCTCATGATCCTGTCTTATATATTTTTAAATTACACTAGGAATGCAGCATCGCTGGGAAACTAGGAAGCACACCCATGGAAGACATGCATCTCCGGAGGCAGCTGCCTGCTTGTGTGGAGTCCTCTGGGCAGCAGAGCGGGTTGGAGCCCCCTCGGTCTGATGCCAAGCCCAGCGCCCTGACCAGAGAGGGGAGGCCAGAGCAGGCCTGTGCCAGCCATGTGAGTTAGTGTGGCCCTAAAGGAGGTGGGACCGCTGGGAGGCTCTGAGGAGCACAGAGGCAGGGCCAGCTGTGCCCCTTAGGAAGCTCACAGGCTGCAAGAGGCGGGCAGAGGCTGGAGGCGGGGAGACCAGCCTGGAGGCCTTTGTTGATCTGGAATGCAGAGATGAGGGTGTGGCCTGAGCTGGGACAGCATCTTTCTCAAGGTCATTATCCCACGTATGATTGTTCCAGAACCCGTGGAAAGGGAATTGTCTCCCTGCCTCCTAACCCCCAGTTCAAGTGTTCGTTCCCAGCATCTGGGTTAAGAGCACAGGCTCTGTAGCCAGGCGTATCTGTGTTTGAGGTCTGCTTAGATACTTGCTAGCTGTGTGACCTTGGAAAAGTTACTTGACTTCTCTGAATACTGATTCACTTCCATACCAGATATGAATAATGATAGCCTCAGCCTCAGTGGAGGCTGTGATTATTAACTAATCTGTAGGAAGTACTTAGTTCATCAGAAGCACTCGATAAATGTTAAATGTCACCGTTGCCTCATCTGCCCGACCTGAAAGAACGGAGGAGAATTTCCCGAATTGTTGTACCGCTTTCATAATCGACCCTGCAGGTTTGGTCTTCTGCTTGGGGTCCCAGTGGCTTCTGCGGGGGAGGGCCGTCTGTCCAAGGCGTGATCTGGGGGCCCATGGCGACACAGAAGGAAGCAAACAGTGCCTGCGACATTGCAGTATTCCTGTTCATAGAGCCCGAAAGGAAGTGGTGAGCAGAGGAGGCCAGAGACAAAGGCCAGCCTCACAGCTTTCACGACAGTCCCCGAGGAGAAAAGCAACAGGCAGCTGAGCAGAGAAAGCGGCGCAGGCCTCCCCGCCCCTGGGCTGCAGGGCAGAAAGGGCAGGGATGGAGTCTGTGTGCCCGGGCCCCAACTACCACGAGGACGGAGCTGGGGCCTCCCGTGATGTGCGGCGACACGGCCCCCCGAGGTGAGAGCTCTGTCCCCACGCCCTCCCCAGCCAGAAGCCCCCACAGGCTTGCTCAGCAGCAGGCCGCCCGGCGCCCACGTGCAGGGCAGGGCAGAGCCTGAGAGTTGCGGCTCGCAGACCATGGTCTGAGGCAGGGGTGCTCAGACTTTTTAATCCGGGGGCCCGTTCGCTGTCCCTCAGACCGTTGGAGGCCGTGGGAGAGTGCGGCCGCACATTCCACGCATGCGCACCGTGGGCCCCAGACAAGTCGGCTGCTAAGCAGGACAGGCAGCGGCAGCAAAAACACCAGGTGGGCCAGATAAATGTCCTCGGCGGGCTGCATGTGGCCCGCGGGCCGGAGTTTGAGGACCCCTGGTCTGAGATCTCGATGGGCTTCCTAAGCCTTGCCAGCCCCAGGTTCTTCATAGGTCAAGTAGGCAAAATCGTCACCACCACCCAGGGTGCTGTGCGATGGCCGGGACAACTGCACGTGCGGAGCGTCCCCAGCCCTCGACACATAGCAGGCTCCAGGCATGCAGGCCACCCTTCTGCAGCCCCACTTCTCTAGCTTTCCAGTCTCCTGCCCTGATCTCTCTTCTGCACCCTCCAGGAACGCCAAGGAGAGCTTCTGCCACCTTAAAACTCCCACTTGCTTGGCATTCATTTTTCAGCCAATCCGAACATTTGTTTTTCTGACTCTCACGTTTTGGACAAGTTTCTGGCCTCACGCTGGTCCCCCTTTCCTTCAGTGCAGCCCTAACGACCATCCTTCGATCCCGTCTCGCCTCCTCCACGCAGCCTTCCTAGTCTCTCCACCCACGGGAGCCCTTTCCCCAGCCCCTCCCGGATGCGGGGCCCGGCTTCCACGTGGGGAGGCAGCGAAGGAGGCTGGTCACGCCAGTGCCCACCCGCAGCACCGCGCGTGGGGCAGGACTGGGCTTCCCCCACTCTCCCCCTCCTGCCTTTTCTTCCTTCTCTCCCTCCCTCCGCTCTCATTTCTTCTGGAGGAAGAGAACCAAAGCGGGGCCAGCAACAGCCCGTGGAAGCTGCAGGGGAGCCCCTGTGCGTGGCCTGGCCCCCTCCGTCGGTGCCCACCCGGGTGCTCCCAGCGTGGTGCTTCCCACGGCTCCTGGCGCTGCCACCAGGAACACCGGCGGGACCGCGGGCAGAGTTGGCAGGGCCTCCGTGCTGTCAGAGCCCCAAACACTCTCCCTTTTCTGCTCGTCCCATGAAATCCTGGGCCGCAGAAGAGCAGAGACTTGAGGTCCTGGGCCTCTAAACGGCCGGCTCCCCCCTGGGCTGGTCTGGGCGGACCCACCCAGCCGCCTGCCCTTCCCAGGCCTGGGGGAGGGAGGGGAGGAGACGGGCAGGCGGTCACACGACCAGCGGAGGGTTTCAGGGTCGGTTTGTGCAAATTTGGTGGCCGTGAGATCTAGTGTGACAAAAATCCTGGTCCAGGCTTCAGGGACCTGCCTTTTAACTCTGCCTCTGACTCATCGCTCCGGTGACATTTACGGAGTCCCTTCCCCTCTAAGCCTCAGGCTTCCTTCCGTGTAGTAGGCTCAGCCTGTTCTGGGTTCCTAATGCTTTTTACAGTCTGACACCGCGTCCCAGTTCTTTACCTCGCTCAGCCACAGCGGCCCCGCCAGAGGTCCCACTACACACAGGCTTCCCAGGCCAGGTCTGAGGGGTTTCTGAGGCAGCCCCTGGAATCTCTCCAGGCCTCAGTTATCTCACCTGTGAAATGGAAATAATGGTATTGACCGTATTGGATATTTCGAAGATGAAATGCTAGAAAGCAGGGCAAGTTCTAACACAGAGCCTGGAACATAGTGAGCCCGTGATGAGTGCTACCATCGTCATCATCACCATCATTGTTACTGTCATTTGCCAGCTCCCCTCTGTCATTTCAGGGAAGGAGAGGCCCCCAGAGTCTGAGTGGGCAGCGTGCAGGTGGCCAGCTACTCCTGGCTTCAGCCCCCTCTGTGCGCACCCGAGGAGGGGGCTTCTAACTACACCCCCAGCCTCGATGCACAGCCCTCCAGCGTGCATTCTGCCAGGGCCCCCAGGGAACCCCCAGCGCACACCGTGGGCTGCCGTGACGATAAGAGGCCCTGCCTGCACACAGCCCTCGGCAAACCGCAGCCGCACCAGCCGCGTCTGAGGTTACGCTGCAGCACGACCAGGGACAGGGGTCGGACAGACCTGGGCGTGGACCTGCTGTGGATTTCAGACAAATCTCTCAACCACTCTGAGCCTCCATTTTCCCATCGGTGTGATGAGCCCAGTGCTAACCTCGTCACAGTTTCCTTAGGAGGATTACAGGGTCACAGCTCAGTTAGGAGGTTTGCATGAGGCTGGACATGCCAAGTTCATGTCACGTGTTCAATACAGATGGGCTCCTTCCATGTATCCACGCCACCCCCATGGACGCCCCTCTTTCCCTTGGGAGCCTGTGTCTGGTCCTCACGCCAGTGTGGAGGAGGGAGGGTCTGGATGCTCCTCCTTTCTCTGCTCCCCCCAGACGCTCAGCCCCAGGCTGCACTGGGCCCACGCTGAATCCACCAGGCAGCTGAGAGACAGGGACATTCACAAGGAAGGGCCACGCTGCTTTTGTGCAAAGCGTTTTTTTTTGTTTTTTTAATTAAAAAGAAAATAAGAAAAACAACACTTCCCAGGGTGTGCTGTGATGAAATATCACAGGCATGCAATGTACAGATAAAAACACGAAGGAAAAGAAGTCCCAGGAGCTGCACGCAGAGACCCCCTACGAGGCGGGCAGGCCAGGGCCCCCCTTGAGGCCATTGTTTTCACAGACAAACATGCTCCTCTCCCTGTCCACGGAAGAGGACGCGCTTCCCCCGCCTGGCTTCCCTAGGAGGCTCAGCCTCCTCCAGCCCACTGGTCCATGATGTGACATACACGCAGGCAACTGGGCTTTACAAGATTTTACAGATGGGCAGTGCTGGGGGTGGGGGGTACACACCACTCCTCTCCCTGACTCCTGGCTCTTTTCAAGGTCTCTGGGGGACTAAGGAAGCAATGGTGGTGTCCCTCCCTGGGGACACAGTGCACATGCTAGATGTAAGTAAGCCCTCTGGTGGCTCCCCTCCTGGAGTGGTAGCAAAAGGAGTTTCCGCAGGTAAGTTGGAGCAGGCAGAATAAAGACTTGGACCAGGACAAGATGTACCTGGGCCGGTGCTGCATTTTGGGGAGATTTTGATATATTCACCATGGTGAGCTTTCCACAGTGACCACTGTTAGCTGCTCACCAAATTCCCCCATATCTGCCTCCTTTGGCCCGATCTTTGGGGGTCACATAGACCTGGATTTGACACCTATGTCTGCCATTCACTAGTTTGCATGACCCTGGAAAAGTTAATTAACTTCCTTGAGCCTCAGTTTCCTCATCTATTAACTGGGGAGGTTCATATGACCCTCAGAGGGTGGCTATAAATTGTATGTGTGACCACGTCTTGAGAGAGCCTAGTACAGCACCTGGCACATAGTAAGTGCTCAATACACAGTCATATTATTGCTGCTATCCAGACACTGGTATTTCCATGGCAGAGTTGGTGAGTCTGTGTGTGTGTGTGTGTGTGATAAACGGAAGGTCTAAACAATGTTCTAGAAAGAGGATGGGTTCCTCTGAGGCTCCTGTGTTGCCTGGGCAGTTTGGAGGTCTTGGACCATGGGGGGCTGGCACGGGGGGCTGGCACGGGGGCCTCCACTGCTGCCTCTGGGCACATCCTCGGGCTCAGCAGCTGTTCTGCAGCTAGACCTCGGTGCCCTCCCTGGGGTAGAGGACGCCGTTGGTGCTGATGCCGTTGTAGAAGTGCGGGCCGAACTGGTTGAGCACGGAGCCTCCGTAGCCGAGAGCGTTGGCAGGCACGGGGTTGGCCCAGTCGCCCCCGGCCCCGTGGCTGCTGAGGTTGGTGAGGGGGGTGAAGGAGTTGAAGCTCAGTGAGTTCTGGCCCATCTTGTCGTCGGGCTCCGGGCTCAGGCCCCCCGGCGTGGTGGCGGGCCGGCCCATGGGGCTGGCCCCGCCGGCGTAGGCTGTCATGGAGGAGAGGAAGCTGCTGAGGCACGGGGCGCCCGTGGGCGGAGGGGGCGACCGCTTCTCCGAGGGGCTGGCGGTGCCGGGCGAGCCGCCGTCCAGCATGTCCTGCGGCTCCGAGCCCTCGGGGCTGCCCGCCAGGAGGCTGTTCTCTGCCTTCTCGGAGGCCAAGGAGCCTGAGCTGGAGGAAACGTCCGATTTTCTCTTCCTCTTCCTGCGGAAATTTCCGTTGTCGAACATCTTCTCGCAGTTGGGGTCCAGGGTCCAGTAATTCCCCTTGCCTGGCAGAAAAGTGAAAGGAGGTAAGCGGAGAGATGGGCTAGACGCGTTGCCTCTGTGCCTCCTTATTTTCATCCACCAAAGACGGCGGGGACAAAAGCAGCAAGAGGAGAACGAAAGGCAGGGACTGGCGTGGAGGGTGGCCCGAGCCCAGGGACCACATCATCATCCGTATCTAAGCAACCACGCGAGGCCCTCTGGGACACACCGGCGAGTGTTGTGCAGGGCGGGTCCCTTTCAGAAGGCTGAGGTACACGGGGTGGGGGTACTGGGGGGCGGGCAGTGCTCCGTTGCTGGAGTTAAAGAAGCTCAGGGAAAACTCAGGACTCCCCGATAGTCCTGGGCTTGGAGTCCAAAGACAGCCTGGAGTCCTGGCTTTGCTCCTAACTGGGCAAAGCTCAGCTGCCCGCTCTGAAAAAGTGGGCTCGCTGTCCTTGCTCAGGCTCACTGCGGGGACCACGGGCGCTAGGCGTGAAAAGCGGCTTCCTAACCGCGAGGGACCGTCCCCGGGGAGGCCTCAGGGTAGGGCAATCCCCGGCAGGGACACGCGTGCTCTTCTGGGGCACAAATCGGGCTGGCCCTTGCTAACCTCCACGCGGGCAGCGGGGGCTCCTAGCAGCACCGAAGCGGCCTTTCGTTCTGAGAGATGGACGTGTGCGCACCGAACACACCACTCTGCAGATTGCTGTGTTCTAGAAATGCGACATTAAAAAGAAAAAGTTCGCTGTCTCTGGTGTCAGAGAGACCTCGTTCCAATTCAAGCCCCGTCACTATCATTTCATCCAGTGCCACCTTCGGGAGGCACCTTAGGTCTCGCATCTGAGTGATATTTTCCTTATCTGTAGAATGGGTTCACAGGGCTACCTTGTGGGGTGCCGTGGGGGTTAAAGGAGACCATAGAAACGGGACGGCAGCGGCGTGGGCCGGCAGTGGGTGCGTAACCAAGTCGGGTCCTTGTTTTTCCCAAGTCAGGCTTGGCAGGCGCTTGGCCATGCTTGGCCCGGCCCTGTCTCTGTGCTGGTGGCAGGGTGCGAGGACTCACGACGGCCCCTGCAGTCCGTTCAGCCCCTGCTGCCACCAAAGGCCTGGCCTGCATCAGACGCTGCTCCCGCCCTGTCCTGCCCTTCAGGCGAGGACACAGGCTCGGCCGTCCACCCTGCTCGGGTCCCTGAGTGTCTGGGGACGGCCTCCGCTGACCCCCAAGCCTGTCCCTGGGCACATGTCCCCCCTCTGCCGAGCTCCCCTCAGCCAGCCCCACAGCAGCCCCCAGTCGTGGGGGGCACAGCCACATCCAGAACTTTCTAGAATGGGGTCTCCCTTGGGGACCCCCCCAGCCCCCTTACCCGGGTCGTCCTCGTCGCGGGGCACCTTCTTGAAGCAGTCGTTGAGCGACAGGTTGTGGCGGATGGAGTTCTGCCAGCCGGCCTTGCTCTTGTTGTAGAAGGGGAAGTTGTCGGCCACGTACTGGTAGATCTGGCTGAGGGTGAGCCGCTTGTCGGGCGCGCCGTGGATGGCCATGGCTATGAGCGCCGAGTAGGAGTAGGGGGGCCGCACCAGCTTCATCAGCTCCTCCTGCGAGGGGATGGGCAGCCAGCCCAGCTCGCCGCCCCCCAGCCCCGGCACGGCCGGCAGCAGCGGCCTCTGCACGCCGTAGGCCTGCGGCAGGAAGGGGCCGGCGCCGGCGCCGGGCAGGTAGGGCGGTGGGGTCGCGGTGGGCCCGTTGAGCCAGAGGTAGGGGTTGGGGGTGGCCCCGTACTCACTGCCCCCCTCGAAGGAGGGGGCCCGCTGGGGGCTGGGCACGCCCTGCGGGTGGAAGAAGTTCTCATAGTAGAGGTTCATCTCGGGGGGCTCCTGGCCGATGCTGGGGAACTGGGGGCTGCAGCGAGGCGGGGAGGGCACCGGCAGGTCGAAGGAGCTCATGCTGGGGCCGGCCGCCACAGCCACCTGCCTGGCACCTGGTGGGAGCTGCCCCTGACAGGTGTGCAGCAGGCCCGGCCTCCGCTTATACCCCGAGGGCTTGGCCGGCGGCCCCACCCAGGGGCGGCCACCTACCTGCACGCCCGCCCAGGGCCCGCCCCCTCGGCCACCAGCCCAGGGGAGGGGACTTTCCGGCTGCCCCAGGTCCCCACTAGCACATGCCAGCTCGGCTCACTGGAGCCGATGTGGACGTGACCGGGACCTCCCCTTCCCTCCTCTCTCCTCTTTCTCTCCTGCCTTCCTCATCATCTTCACTCTCCCTTTCTTCCTCCTTCATTCTGGCTCAGTGGTTCACCTCATTTTTTCTCTTTCCCTTTTCCTCATAGTTTTCCACCCTTCCTGCTGTCCTCTCTCTGTGCATCTCATTCTTTGTTCCTTTCCTTCTTCCTTTCACACTTTCTTCTCTTCTCTTTACCTCTTACTGTCTTTCTCCCTCTCTCTTTCTCTTCGTTCTCTCCAGACTGTGTCTCTTCTCTATGCACTCACCTGGCCACATCGGGCTCCCTGGTTCCTGCTTTCCCTCCCCCACCCCACCCCTCCCAGTCTTCTAGCTCTTTCCACTTCTGTCTCTCCCTTCTTCATCATTATCTGCCTTCCCAGTTTCTCTCCTTCTCCTTTACTCTCTCTCTCCCTGTCTCTGTCTCTCACTCTCCTTGGGCTCCCTTCCCCTGCATCTCCCTGGTCTTCCCACCGACCCTCACTCTCTGACCCGCGGCCCCCATTAGACTAGATGAGCGCTTCACCAGAAGCCATTTCTTGGTTTTCTGGGTGGAGACACCTTCTGCAGCTGCCAGGAGAGAGGAGGCCCTGGGGAACCGCGCCGAGCAGAGAGCCCAGCCTCGGGTCCGCTTCACGGGGCAGGTGGCCATAGACCCCGTCCACCCGACACACGCGTGTGAGCACAGGCACACGCACGCTGCACGGGGCAGGGAGGAGCCACAGCAGGGGGACAGGGGCTTCTCTCTGGGCTCCAGGCTCCATGCCCCAACTCGTCCCAGCCTCCCTGGTCCCCAGCCCGGCCCCCAGCCCAGGGCGTGGTCTCCCTCTCCAGAGGGTCAGCAGCTACACCCTGACCAGGGCCTGGTGGCAGTGAAATTTCTCTTGGTTGTCGGGCAGATGGGGGATAAGCAGGAGCAGCCCCTGGTCACCCCCTCCCTGCCCTCCTGCGTCTACCGCCCCCTCCCGCTTCCTCCAGACCACATGCTCCTTTGAGGCCAGGAAGGAGGTCACTGGCTATCCCAGCTACAGGGGGCGATTCCCGAGGAATCCTCACCTCTCTCTGCTCCCCCACGGCTGTGTGGGGACACAGGTGGCAAACGCAAATGCCACTGAGTGAGTTTCATCTTCAGCCTCTCGGGGTCCAGAGGATGAGTTCGAGGTGACTGGGTAGGAGGGGTCCCCTAGGCCCTGAGGAGCCACCTGTCGCCCCATGGAACAGTGACGGGGGTGACTGACAGGGTCTGACTGCCCAGGTAAGGCTTGGGGTAGGCACACTTCGAGGAGTAAAGCCAGAGGGGCCACGTTTCTGTTGGGAGTTTCTCTTCCAGGAGGCCTGGCTGGCTGAGGGTGGGACCCTAATTTTTCACAGTCTCATGGAACCCCCTAATACAGACCCAAAGCCTTGCAATTAAGCCAGCAATTCCACTTGTCAAAGCTCATCTTATAGAATTGAGCAAAGGATTAGCTACAGAAATGTCCACTACAGCACTGTTTATAGCTGTACCAAAGTGTAACTAATCTAAATGCCCAATAATGGGTGATTGGCTAAATAAATAATGTATCATCCAAATGACACAATATTATGCAGCAATGAAAAATAGGTTGTAGAAGAATAATTAATGATATGGAAAATATTTATGTTCTCCCCTGATATTATTTGGAGAACCAGGCTACAAAATACCATAGTTTTTTTTTTATAAAAACGTATATTCATATGTATATATAAAATCTACAAATTTCAATATAAACTTGTCAATTATTTTTGGGTAAAGAATTGGATGTGATTGTTGTTATTTTAAATGATTTAAAAATCCATATGATTAGATAGAGAGCAGCAAGCTCACAGGATTTGCTTTTGGGGTCAAATGTCAAAGGACAGAAGGAGGAATGGGGCACGCAGCAGGGATGTAGCAGACAGGAGCTCTGAGATCAGTTCTCGGTGCACACCCCATCCAGCCGAAATGCCGAATAATCGCGCAGACCTTGACAGGAGAGTAAGCTTCTCCCAGCCTCAGTTTTCTTGGGTGGAAATGGGGGTGAGGCCAGCACTTAACTCCTGCTGCGTGCACTCACTGGGGCAGTCCATGCAATCGAAGTAAGTCACTTCACGTGGCACACTGGGGCTCACTCAGCAAACACGGGTTATTACACGTTATAGTCAATACACTATATTGGTATGCACAGGCGAGTTAATCGATCCCTTTCAGCAGCTCGCATGCAGGCAGGGTGACAGGGATTACAGTGAACGAACAGAGGGAGGAATAATCAGTGTAGACCCCAGCTGTACAGCCAGGCTCTGCCGTCTGCAGACGGCGGTCGGAGAGGGCCCAGAGCGCACAGTGCTCGGCTGAGCTAGGCCAGGACCCAGTCTGTCCACACCGTCCTTCCCGCTCCCCTTGGCCCGTCTCTGGGGTCTCTTTCCCTAGCAGCACTTTCTGCGGCATGTGCACCTGTCTCCTGAGTTGCATGTGGGCCCCAGTTTCTTTTGCACAGGACATCATAGGAAGCCTGGCCTGTCTTAGGAGGCCTTGTCTACACTGAGACCCTCTGGCACCCAGAGCCAGTAGCTGGGTACCACAGCCTCCCTGCACTTAGCAGGGGTGCCCAAAGCATCCCCAGAGGGCGCCTCATTCCAGATTTTCATAAACGCCAGCTGCAGCCGTCATCATGGGGACAATGGGAGCTGCCTGCCTCTACCCAATAGTGAGGTTCGGGAGTTGCAGCCCCAAAGCCCCCTGACCAGTCCCAGGAAAAGAATCAAATGTCTCTATCGCCTGGGGTCACTTTGTAGATGAAATTAATGTAGACTTTCTGAAATTTCTAGAAGTGAAAGTTCAAGACTGAGAAAATGTGCTCTGCCTAGCATTAGGGAAAAAATAATAAAATGACGAATAAAAAATAAGAGTTGTATGGGCGGGGGCTGCAGCTTGCATCCTGAGGACCATAGGGAGGCCTTCTTAAAGGAGAAAGATTCCCAACTGGGATATTTGAGACAAGGCAACAGACCATTAAAAACCTGGGTTTGGGGATTGGATGGAGCTGGGTTCAAATCCCCGCTTTGCTATTTGGTAGCTGTATGATGATGGCCAAATTTCTTAATCTTACAAGGCCTCCATTTGCTGACCAATGAAATGGGGATACAAATAGTACCTGTCATGAATTTAGAAGGGAAAAGTGATGTAATGTTTGTGAAGTATAGGGCCCAGGGTCTGGCAAAAGCCGTGGAAAAGGAGGCTGATGAGTGCTGGAGACCCCGAGGCCAGGTGTGGACAGGAAGGTGGCTCTGGGCAGGAGGCCCAGGGTCACAGCCACCTCTGAGCAACATTTTACCATTTGCTCTCAACTTGGGAAAACCTTGCCGTTTGGAAGGCATGTCCCCAGGGAGGGAGGAAGGGCCTGCCGCTCTTTCTGGAGTATGTACCCAGCGATCGGCTGTAGATACTGCTGGGTCCAAAAGCCCACTCCGGCTCTAGATCTGCAGAAAGGGTAAATATACACAGGCCCCCAGGCAGACCGTGATCAACCAGGGCCATCACTTGTGGCCTTGACTTTCAGAGGGTGTGGAGAATCCTGCTCTTTAGGAGTCTGACCTCAGCCTCAGTTTGCTCATCTGTAAAATGGGGAGAACCGACTACTTCCGAGAGTGTTGCTTTGAGGACCGTCAGGCATGCGATACTGTACACGCTCAGTAAATGTCACTTATCATTAAGGACACAAGGAGCCCAGGGTGATGGGAGATGCTAGTGCCCTCCAGCTAGGGCTACAACGTCCCCAAGCTCTTGGACCTTACCTACCTCTCCCCAAACTCACCTTTGATAGGGTTTGGCTCCATGGGCTCTTTCTCCTTTCCTCATGCAAAATGCAAATAGTTTCTAAGTTCCAGGGTTCCTGGGAGCCTGGCAGGGTCGAAGTTTGTTGGGGCATTGGGGGTTGAGGGACTAGTTGGGTTCCTTTATCTGCAAAGTGGAGATAAAAATCACAGTCCTGCCTACTGTTAATATCTACAATGGCTTTCTGAGTGGCAGTGGGCTTCCCGTCCTGCCTGAAACAGCAATGTCTTGAGAGTCATTCTTGGGACACTTTGGGGCTTGACCTGGGGCTAGCTTTTCCTCCCCAGGCGTGGGCTTTGGGACGTGTGGCCAGGCATTATCTGGGCTGGAGATGGTCTTGGCGCTGCTGCTTTTTGGCTTGTGGCCATCCTCCCTGGAGAAGCATAGATCCACAGCGCCCTCTGGCGGCCCTGTCTCTGACAGCGGGAAGTCGAGTGTGGGGCTCGGGTGAAGAGGCCAAGAGTTTCCTTCCTTCCCTTTAAGGATAGGAGACCAGAATGAGAAATGTGTCAGGTTCCCAGGACGAACAGCTTAGAGAAAAAAGCCTTCCCTCTGCTGCAATGGGAACGGTGAGAGCTGCGCTGGAAATGTGGGGTCACGCACGTCCCGGCAGGCAGCCCCGCAGCAGGTGGGCTGGACTGGATCAGATCAGATCCCTGCGGCTGTGTTTTCCAAGCACCCAGACATCCTTTAATCTCTGAGCCTGTTTGCTCGTCTGGAAAACGGCTATTGCAAGGACCGAATGAGGTCGTATAGAAAATGCCTCTGGAACAATGCATGACTGTCATTCATTCCTTCATTTATTCAGCAAATACTAAATGGCCTTCACACTAACCAATTTGGGGCTGGTGTTCAGGATACCGTCATAGTCACACAAAGTTGAGGATCACACTGCTGGTGATTTTTGCTGTCTCTGTGCAGCACCTGTAATTTTGATATACTGTACTTGTGTTTTTTTGGGTTTTTTTTGAGACAGAGTCTCACTTTGTTGCCCAGGCTAGAGTGAGTGCTGTGGCGTCAGCCTGGTTCACAGCAACCTCAATCTCCAGGGCTCAGCGATCCTCCTGCCTCAGCCTCCCGAGTAGCTGGGACTACAGGCATGCGCCACCATGCCCGGCTAAATTTTTTTGTATATATATTTTTAGTTGGTCAATTAATTTATTTCTATTTTTGGTAGAGACGGGGTCTCGCTCAGGCTGGTTTCGAACTCCTGACCTTGAGCAATCCGCCCGCCTCGGCCTCCCAAAGTGCTAGGATTACAGGCGTGAGCCACCACACCCAGCCTGTACTTGTGTTTTAATTGGCTCTTTTGTTTTTTGTAATACTTAGTGGACTTGTTTTAAAGATAAATTCATTGTAACTTCTGGAAATAGATCATCAGTAGTCAGGATCACTTGCCATAAATAAGAAGAATTAGCATTTACTTAGTGTTTATGCTGTGCTGTTGGGCACAGACTGAACTCCTTACCTGTGTTACCTTATTCAGCCCTCCCAGCAGCCCTAGGAGGTCTGTATTGTAATTATCCCCATTTTATAGATGAGGAAACTGAGGCAGCACAAATTGTCTGCAGAAGGCTCTGGCCTGAGCTCGCTCACTCTGCTGGAACATGAGGTCAGCGAGCGTTAGTGAGGTGCTGGAACACACTGGCCAGAGACACAGACTTTCTTTTTCGAGAAGGTAAAAGGATTGAAAGAGAACTGAAAAGGGAGTGAATTTCCGCATCGTGAGAGTAGCAGCAGAATGCTGACCCCCCCCCTCCAAAGACATTGGTCATTGGTCCAGAACCCCAGAATCTGCAAAAATGTCATCCTCCAAGGTAAAATGTGCTTTGCAGGAGTGATTAAAGCAATGACCTGATGGGGGGACTGTCCCGCATGCATTACCCAGGCGGGCCCTATGGAATTGTTAGCATCCTTATAAGAGGGAGACAGGGGAGATAGATTTAATGACAGAGCTGAGATGTGACGATGGGAACAGAGATTGCAGTGATGTCGCCACGAGCTAAGGAGTGCAGGATGCCTCACGGCCTGTGGGAGCTGGAAGGGCCAAGGACATGGGTTATTCTAGAGCCTCCTGGGGGAATGAGCCCTGCAGACACCTTGATTTTTACCTTGTAAGATTTACCTCAAACTTTTGACCTAAAGAACAAGAGAGCTGGAAGACCCACGTGCTAGAATGGGAGTGGGACAAAATGGGAGGGCGTGAGGATCCACATGCATCAGACAATCTCATACCCCTCAGAGTCTTCAGAGAGCTCGGTTTTCTGGGCCGTCAGCTGTCCATGCTGCCATGGTAGCCACTGCAGCCAGCTGACCGTATGCGGCCCATGCCATCCTCCCACCTGGGGCCAACCAGTTGCTTGTCCAGGGACACTTGTTCTTCCCCTTCGCTGCGGCTGCAGAGCCAAAGCAATCGGCTTATGGCCCAAGTTGCTGGTTTCTCTCACAAATCCTGCACTTGCACAGGATGCCACATCGTAGGGTGTGGGATCCAGCTTCCCAAGCAGCTGCCAGAAGGGCTAGAGGATGTGGCCCCTCGATAGGGGGAGCCGTGACCAGTGAGAAACAGGAGGCTGGCGTAGGAGGCACGCCCGGCAGATACATTCCCTCTCCTTCCTCCTTTCCAGAGATGCTGCAGGGACAAGTTCCCCGTGGACCTTGTTCAAAGGGATCCTGCTCAGGGCTGGCCCACCGGCCACGTCTCTTTGTGGCTTGCTGGGAAACAGAGGCCAGCACAGGTAAGACCCCAATTTCCATTGTTTCCTCTCCCCGCGCCCCCTTCCTCACTCCCCTAGGAGTGTGCAGCCCCAGAAGAGCACGGCATTCAGTCACTGCCCGAAGGTCTGCTTCCCAGGGAACCAGAGCTATGACAGGGAGCCAGAGGCACCCAAGGTTCAGCCAGAAGTGTCAAACAGATGTGCTCCAGGGTGGGATGTCTGGAGGACAAAGCCCCGCCTGATTTGAGATGCTATGAAGGCCACTGTTTCCCTCAATTTCTCTCCTGCTTGCTGACATAAGCCTAAAAGTCTAGAAGAAAGAAAGAGGACGTTCACTGCACCCTTGGACATAAGGATAAAAATGTCCTTCCCTTAAGGAAAAGGGAACTTGGTGTGCTAAATCAAACTAAAGTGTGAATGGCAGATATCAGCTGTCTTGAAGACAGAGAGCAAGGGGACCCTGGGTGCTTAAAGGGAAGGGAAGGGAGTTCCACCGAGGGGAGATTACCTGGAAGGACACCAGGCTTAGAGCCAGCCCAAACTGGAGCCAGGTCAGGTCCCTTCGTGCCTCTGTGCCCCAGCTTCTTCATTTGAGTGACAATCGTACCTACTCCTAGGGCTGCTGCCAAGATTTGGGAAGTAACTCTTGTCATGTCTGTACATTGCGCCAGAGACAGGCAGGGCTCAGTAAATCTGAGCTGCCATCATCTCCGTCTCTCGACCCTCGCTGTACCCCAACTCAGCCTGTAAATGAGCATCCACCCGCCGTGGCTAGGTGGCTCTAGTTCTGAACACCACGCCGCCATGCACTTACGGACACTCACCCGGTGTCAATTTCCTTCCCAAACGGAGTCCTCAGCCTCCTGCCGAGCCCCCTGCCCTGCACAGCAATCTGCTCCCCAACTGGGGTGGTGGCACTCTGCTCCCGCCCTCTCTTGTCCCTGCCTGGCAGAGCCCCTCGCCTCCCGCGGGCCTCATTGGAGAAACGTGTGGACTCCACCAAGGAAAGCCACCACTTCTGACCTGGTGACAGGATCCAAGGGCTGGACCATGAATCTACGGGACCTGAGACTCTTTAGCAAATGGTTGGGGTCTTTATTAGGGTGACCAGGCTTGGGGGCTGTTGCCATTTTTTTCCAGAAGCAGACAAAGGCAGCATGATCTCTCCACTGTTCAGAAACACCAGGAAGATTCCAGGCCAAGGTTCCCAGCGTCCTGGCAGCCCCGGGCTCGGCCCCCAAGGAAGCAGAGTCATGGGGAAGACCCTGGGGGTGGCATAAAGGAGCCGGGGAACTTGGCAGAGGGCAAGGCCAGGGCCAGGCTCCTGCCTTCTCACCCCGGGAGCCCCTGTCCAGTCCCGGGCTAACAGATTCAGCTAATGGAATAAGCAACAAGGCTTATTTGAGCAAACCACTTTTTATTGTCAGTAAGAAACAGCAACACCTCAGACATTAACAGCTAGAAAAGAGACCAGGTTGGTCGCATTTAAAAATGTAGAGTACAAAACTGTTAACCTAAAATAAAATAAAAAAGAATATTTAAAAGGCTTTTCTTTTCTGTTAAATTCTGGAACTTAGTAAATGGAACGAAAGCACAGCTCCTGATACCTAGGAAACCGGGCTGTAACAAGCCGTGCCTAGGCTGCTGGGGGGCAGATTGAGAGAAGGTGCCCTGGCCGGTCCCTCAAGGTCCAAGAATCCACCAGCCGCCCCTCCCCCCACCCGTGACACTGGGCTCGTCACCACTCGAGCTCTGGGACCCAGTCGGCCCCTCCGTCTCCTCTGGGTGAGGACGACTGATGAGGACAGCCTCCCCTCCCTGAGGCCTCGGTGTCTGCTCTTCTGGAAGCTTCCCTCCCTGGCTGCCCCTCGCTGTCCTGGTCAGCCGCGTCTCACAGGTCCGTGGACAGCGCGTCCGAGAGCTGCTTGCCTTCTTCCGGTGACTTGCTGGCCAGCTTTCGGGAGAAGACAGTAGACAAAAGCACAACACCAAGACGGGGTTGCCGTGGGTGCCGAAGCGGGGCTTTCCAATCACGAGGCCCCGACACCTACGCCGCCCAACGCCCAGGGAGCGAGGGCTGCCGTGACCTTGACTTTGGCCAGAGACGCAGACCCGGCAGTGGACTGACCCAGGCTTTGCTGTCCGCGGCCCCCTCACCAGCTGGGGTGACCTGGGCCCGTCGCTTACTGACCTCTGAGCCTCACCAACCCCTCGCCTGCCTGGGCGGGAGGGAGATGGGCAGGGGCGATGTTTGGGAAGTGCCTGCGCGGGGCCTGCAAGGTGCACTCCCGATTTTACAGCAGCGCGGTTCTGGGCTAAGGTCGCCTCGAGGATCGGAAGTGTCCTGCTACCTTCTTGATCTCAAGCAAAGACTGACGAGTAACCATAGGAGATGAGACCTGAAGAGTCAGTGCTTGGAAACTAACCGTCAATTTGTAGGAGTTTGCGATGCGAGTTGGATAGCAAAGTGCTTCCAAAGAGAAAAGGAGCTTTCAGCTTCCGAAGCCGCGGCCGCGGGGGCTCGCGTGGGAGCACGAGGGGAGACCGAGGCGAGGGCTGGCCACCTACTGGTTTGGGGTCCCCGGGGCCCTGCACATCCCTCGCTAGGGTCAGTCCTGGTCAGAGGAGCCCCTGGGGCCCCAGGGGAGAGAACTGCGCTCTGGGCATCACTGGACAGACTCCCAGACCCCGGGCCCCCGACCACGCCTCCTCGGGAGTGACCGCGTGTGCACACGCACCGCACACGCACCCCGTTTCCTTCTCTCTCCACGTTGCTCTCTTCCCTCCCCCCTGCCAACACCCTCCCTGCCTCCCACCTGCCGGGGTCCTCACCATCGTCTTGAAGAACTGATTGACCTTCTTCCGTTTGAGCGTCTTCTTGTCGCCGTCGGAGAGGTGGAGGAAGGTCTGGCTGAGGCGGGGGGACGTGCTGGCCCCGTCCAGCCCGGGCATGCCGGCCACCGAGAGCGTGAGCGCTGGAGGAGAGCAGAGACGCCGGGTGGGCGGGTGGGCGAGGCGGGGGAGGAAGGTGGGAGACGGCTGGGGACTCAGCCAGCACCCGGGGGTCACGCGGCCTGTGTGCCAAGAGGCAAGCAGGAGGCCCACTTCCCGCCTCGCCAGGGGGCGTTGAAGCTGTCCTCGTGGGGCGAAGCCCGCCCGCCCTGCAGACAGGGGCCCGGCCTCCTGGCACCCAGTCAAAGCCTTGTCCCCTACCCGGGGAGGCCTGGGTAACTAAGAATGCAGGGCCACCTGGTGTGACAAATGAATGCCCAGCGAATCCCGGGCCAGAGGGACAGCAAACCTGCACCCCAGCCCCGGGGGGAGGTCGCTGGGATAGCTTCACCCGCAGGAAGGGTGGGTGCGGACAGAGATCAGATGGGGGCTCTGAGCAGAGCCTCTCACCTTCAGGACCAGGACGCCTGGTCTGCTGTGCTGTGCAGACACGGGCCCCATCCATCCTCCACCCGCCAGGCTGGGGCCTGCACTATCTCTATTCCCCAGGCTGCTGGTGGCGGGGCACGTACCTGGGATGGTGGGCATGGACTGGCTGGCAAAGCTCATCTGAGAGAGCACGGACGCCTTCGGGGGGACGGCCGCATGCTCCGACAGGTTGGTGTCACTCATGAACTCGTGCTTCCTGGAAAGCTGGATGAATACACCACACACACACACCAGAGAGGCTTAGCATGAGGCAGATCTGGTCCTTGAAATGCCAGAGATGAAGGCTTGCCATCATTTCTATGAACCCAGCTCCAAGTTCATCTATTTTGTCTTATAACGTTCCATGCCAGCCTGCCATGTATGGTTGCACAGGTTGCATACTGTACAACTCCAGGGGTATGGGGGGGCATTCATTTAGACTATCGTGTGAATGGTGCCCCCTAGAATTGCGAAACACGGAAGACATTTCCATCCTTTTCCCCCTGGGCAAGAGTAGCCTCTGGTGCCCACTGGCAGGTTTGTGGAGCGTCCTCTGTCCACCGGAAGGCATGGAGGCTCGTTGCCCTTTCATCTGGCACCTCCCTTGCCAGGGCAGATCACCCCGTCCTCCTCCCAGCTACCCAGAACATTTTCAACAAACCTCTTTTCAGGGGAAAATTAAACTCGAGCCCAGGGCTGTCTGACATCGAGTCTCATGACTAAAGGGTTATTAGTTTGCAAGACCAAACTCTGGAAGCCGAGGCAGTGAGATTCCGTCTCCTCACTCCCGCCTGGGCTCCGGGTGCAAAGGAGGAGGTGGGGAGTCTGAGGTGTCAGTGGTCAGAATGGCCCCTGGGCCGGGGACAGAGGGCGGCGGCTGCAGCAACACCCTGCCCCTCCCCAGGCTGGCCGCTCTCCGGCCGGTGGAGAACGGGCTGCTTCTCCTGGCCTCGCAAAGCCCTGCCAGGGCAGAGGGGACACGCTCGGGCTCTGGGGTGCGACACCTGGGCTCAGAGCCTGGCCGCGTCTGGCCCCAGCCATCTGCCACACGAGCACGGGGTCCCCTCCCTGCACCCCAGTGCCGCCTCCGGATCCCCACGGCACCAGGCTTGAGTGAGACGGGCCTCGGAGCCGGGCATCGTGCCCGGCACGCCGCAGATATTTGCCGACGGTGCCCGAGGGCAACCGGCCCCGGCCGCTCACCCGCTTCAGGTCCGACTCGGCCGCTGACTTCTCGTCGGCGAACACCACGCTGCTCCTCTTCGTCCGCTTCTTAGACCGGCGCAGCTTGACCTCGGGCAGCGTGCTCCCCGGGGAGATGGGCTCCTCCGGCTCCGCTCTCGGGGTCCTGGGCGGTGCCAGCTCCAGGTCGAAGCTGAAGGGCAAGGGGGACAGCAGTGGGAGCTGCGGTTAGAGCTGCAGGGGACTGCCTTGCAGGGACGCAGGGGGCCAAAGGGCCTCTGTGCTACCTGAACTGCCACTACGGGGTCACTACAGGTCAGCTAGCCTGGCAGAGACTTGGGGAGACATTTGCTCGATTTGCAAACATTCAAATGAAGTAAATAAAATTTATTTTATTTCATTCGTGGTAAAATGAAATTGAAGGAGATGAAACATAAAAAAGAAACTGGTGGGGAGGAGAGAAAACTGATTAAAAATACGGATTTGGGTTCAAATCCAGGCACTGGCACTTCTTAGCTGAATGACTCTGGGTAAATTCCTAAACTGCTTCGAGTCATCATTTCCTTTTCCATAAACAGGGCCCTTTGCGGTGACCTTGCAGAGTGGCCACGAGGCCAGGTCCCAGGACCCTGGGCACATTCCTGGCACCGGCGTGCGCCGGATCGTTCGTGGGGTCTATCACGAGAACAGCTGCGCTGGGCGGGGAAGAGCCAGAGCGCTCCAGGAAGAGGAGGAGGCGAGGGGAGGGAGGCCCCAGCAGGGTGTGGGGGTGCAGGAGGAGGAGCTCTGCGCTGGGGACATCCCGTCCAGGTCGGGAGGGAAGGAACTGCCCGTCAGAGGAGAGAACATTCCAGACGGATGCAGGCCGGGTGAGGAGCTCTGGCAGGCCGGCAGAGATCACTGGACTGGGAGTTGGGGACGCCCAGCCTCCTGGGGTCGTCGTGAGGTTTCGAGGCTCCTGGTGGGGAGGGCTTATTTGAAAGGGCGAGGGGGAGGCAGGAGGGAGGCTGCTGGGTGAGGGGGGAGCGGGGTTTGGGGCTTGGGCCAGGGCGGCAGGGTGCGGGGGCTGCGGGGCAGGGACAGACCTCTCGGAGGTGGTCTTGCTGGGGGTGCTGCAGTCGGAGTTCATGGAAGCCAGCGAGATGATGGACATCTGCCTGTAGGAGCGCAGCATGGACCGGGGGCGGCCCACCCTCCTGTCGTCGAAGTCGGGCTGCGGGGGGAGAACAGAGTGGGGCTGAGCAGGGCGTCGCACACGGCTGAGGCTGGAGGTGGCAGTAGAGTGAGGAATGTGACCTTCATTCCCGGCTTCCGGGAGGTAAATCTAAATCCTGGGAATTTTTTCGCATGTGACAGGAGTGTCTTTGTGAGTCACGGGTGCCCCGCTGGACTGTCCCCCAAATTATGCTAACAGGAAGGCTCCCGATGGCCAGAAAGACCAGCCCTGCGGTTACAGGGGCTTTCGGCCATGTGACGCCAGCTCAACCGCTAGGGACTGGACGGGGCTGGAGGTTGACTTGAGTCACGTGGCCAGCGATCCAATCAGGCATGATACATAGTGAAACCCTATAAAAACCCTGGCAGGCTGGCGCCGGTGAGCCTTCCTGGTCAGTGCCATACAGCGAGGTGCTGGAAGGGGGACGCGGCCTGGGGACATGGGAGCTTCTCGTCTGGGACCTTCCCAGGACTCAGCCTGTGCACCTCTTTATCTGGCTGATCTTGACTTACATCACAAACCAAAATGGTTAAGTATAGGGCTTTCCTGAGATCTGTGCGTCATTGTTCTAGTAAATTACCAAACCTGGCCAGGTGGTAGGAACCCCCAAATTTGTCACCAGCTGGGCAGAAGTGTGGGTGGCCTGGGGACCCTGGGGCTTGTGGGTGGCTCCTGAAGCAGGAGGAATCTAAGACTGTGCTCGGCCTGGGCAAGGTGACCTAACTCCAGGCAGTTTGCATCAGAGTGACATTTCAGGGGCTTCTCACAGTGTTGACAGTGAGAACCCATCTCATGGGAAAAAATCTTGAATCATAAAAGACCTGAGTTTACCTCTACGCTCTTCCAGTAACTCACTTCCCCTCTCTGGGTCTCAGTTTTCCCATCTGTAAAATGGGAAGGCTGAACCAGCTGATTTTTAATGGACTACACAGCCTTAACATTCCGTAGTTCCATTTTATAAGGAAGAGGATAAAGAAGATGTCGCTGTGAGCACCAGGCCAGTGGCTTCTTGGGGCCAAGGAGCTTAGTGGCCAAAAGCAGTGGCCTTGAGCCACTAGAACCAGGTGCAGGCTCGGACCCACACTCATTTGCTATGCAGCTCCTGGACCCTCTGAAGGGATACAAGGGGTTTAAAATAATTCCTCCCTCCCAGGCCTGTGAGGATTAAATGACCCAGTAGATGTCAGGTGCTCTGATCAGGCCTGACACACAGTAGGTGCTTCATCACTGTAGCTTTGATTATTACAGAGTCCTTTGAGTAACTGGTGTTCACACAGTCCCAAGTGCAAGTGGAGTTTATGTGGGGGTGGATTTCAGGGACTAGGCTTACGGGAAGGTTCCCCTGGATGGCTCCAGCCACGCTGGCTCTTTGGAGGCAGGTCCCCGTGCCAGGCCCCTTCCCACTCCAGTCTCGCCGGCCTTCCCGGCCCCACCCTGCCCCGCTGCACCCCTTCTGGCCACGGGGACCGCACGCACCATCTCCCTGACGCCATACTCCTTCTCCACCTTCACTTTCAGGCTCTTGAAGCACTCCTCCATCCGGTCATGGAACGGACGCAGGTTTTCCGACACCCTTTTCTCATGGATCTTAATCCCGGCCCCCAGGAAGGGGATCTGGGGAGGAAACAGAGAACGGTGAGCCCGAGGCGGCCAGCGGGCCTCAGCCAGGGACCCGGCCTGCCACTGCAGCTGAAGTCCAGTCTGCTAAGAATCCATCAAGGGGGCCGGGCTGTGTGGTGGCTCACGCCTGTAATCCTAGCACTCTGGGAGGCCAAGGCAGGCAGATTGCTCGAGGTCAGGAGTTCGAAACCAGCCTGAGCGAGACCTCGTCTCTACTAAAAATAGAAATAAATTAATTGACCAACAAATATAATATATATATATATACAAAAAATTAGCCGGGCATGGTGGCGCATGCCTGTAGTCCCAGCTACTCGGGAGGCTGAGGCAGGAGGATCGCTTGAGGCCAGGAGTTTGAGGTGCTGTGAGCTAGGCTGACGCCACGGCACTCACTCCTAGCCTGGGCAACAAAGCAAGACTCTGTCTCAAAAAAAAATAAAATAAAATAAAGAATCCATCAAGGGGGCCGGGGTCCTCAGAGACTGGAACACAGGGTCCCCAGCCACGGGGAACAGGGAAGCGCCACCTTGGGCTTGCCGGAAGGGAGAAGACCCAGCTGCCCCTGCCGCACAGGAGGGCTGGACCCCCCCCCCCCCGTCAGAGGCCTCGAGCTCTGGGAAATCGCCCCCTTACACAATCTACTGAGGCCCGGAACGTGGGGACCAGGAGAGCAGTCTCTTTGGATTTGACTTAAAGCCTCACCTAGAGGTTCTTGGCAACACAAAAGTGAAAGTTTGAACGTCAGAGGTGGGAGACAGAGGAAGGGAAGAGCTGAGAGGAAAAGGAGGAGTGGGCACAGCCTCATCTTGCAACAGGGAGGCCCGACATTATGTGGCTGCAGATAAAGACGTGAGCGCTTTGACACCACGGAGTTGACCCACCAGCAGGGAGCTTGAACAGTGATGGCCAAGCCCAGGGAAGGCGAGGGAGGAGGGTGGACTTGCGAGAGGGAGGTAAAGTCTTATTCCCCCATGGGGGAGGTGGACGCATGCTATCTGAGTGGCAGACACAGCAAGGGGACCTGCAGAGCCACTCGGCCACTGCTCAAAGGAGAAGCTCAGGACACTAGCAGTGTGGCCTTGGGGAGGGACAGAAACAGGGGTGCAAAGGGGGAGACTATGCATTACTTTGGAAAAAGCCTAACCCTACCCTGTTATGATGGTAAGGTAAAGATATTTCTGCCTCCTTCTCTTGGAAGTCCCCCTGACACGACGAGGTGAAGGAGACACTGATATCTCAGTGCAGCGTGGGGACGTCCACGAACCTGCCCCACGCTACCTGCCAGTGGAAGGAGGATGGAGGATGCAACTGACCTTCCAGAACACAGTGGGGAGCTGGTGATTAGAAAAGGCCACCTGCCTCTGGGAGCCCAGGAGGGGCTCAGGGATTGGGGGCGCTGGGTGGGCTGAGGGCCAGATGCAGAGGGCCGGCTGGGCTCTGTGTCAAGGCAGGTGAGTGCCAGGTGCCCACCGCCTCACCTGTAGCCAGGTGCTGTATTTTCCCACTTTCCCAAGAAGTGGCTTATCCTCTAGAACATTCAGAACCAGGAGCTCTGGGCTCAGGGAGACCAGGCACAACGGGGGGCAGGATGAGGAGCCAGACTGGAAATGAGGGTTGAAGGGAAAGTCTGCAGCGGAGAGCGGGGCCTGCGCTGCCCAATCCCCAAATGGCCAGCAGCGCAGGGGTCAGTCGGGATCATCCTCCTTTAAAGCAGCTGGAAGGGCCTGACTCCGGGGGAGGTGAGTGGCCCGTGCAGGGACAGACATTTGAGAATCACTCAGCTACCATACAGCAGGGCCACCCAGCTGACAAGGCTCCTTCTCGCGGTCACACATTTTCTTTTAGCCCCACTCTTAACTATAAAGATGCTGCCGAGGGTCACCAGACATATCAGAGAAAATTCTCCAGTATAAAAGGAAGGAGGGAAGGAGGGAATGAGAGAGGGAAGGAAGGAGGGAGGGAAGCAAGGAAAGAAAACCCAAACAATTTGGAAGAAACATAAACTAAAGAGAGACTAAGAAAACATTATTTTAAAAAAATTTTAATTAATACATAGAAACAGAAAAGATCCTCCATCCATGGAGAAAAGAGACGGATTTTATATAAAAATGAATAATGATGGAAATATTACATATAAAAAGTAGTGAGATATAGTTTTAAGATAGTAAATGGAGGTAAATTTATAGCTTTAGTGTTAAATATTAGAAAAGAGAGAAAATTGATTAGCTAAGTGGCCATCTCAAGATATTAGTAAAAGAACAATAAATTAAATCCAAAGAGAGCAAAAGGATAGAAATAATAAAGTGTAGATATGAATGAAAAAGAAAATAAACTTACAACAGAGAAGATCAACAAAGTCGAAAGTTGGTTCTTGAAAAGACTTAACGATGATGAACCCCTGAAAAGACTAATCAAGAAGACAGAAGGCACCAATAACCAATACCAGGATTGAGAAGGGAGTCTCACTACAGAAGGTACACACTATGGGAAATCATAAGAAGGCCAGGCGCAGTGGCCCAGCTACTGGAGAGGTTGAAGCAGGAGGATTACTTGAGCCCATGAGTTCGAGACCAGCTTGGGCAACACAGTGAGTCCCCATCTCTACAAAGAATTTTTAAAATGTTAGCCAGATGTGGTGGCATGATCCTGCGGTCCCAGCAACTCAGGAGGCTGAGGTGGGAGGATTGCTTGAGCCCAGGAGTTTGAGGTTACAGTGAGCTATGATGACACCACTGCACTCTAGCCTGTCTACAAAAAAAAATTATATATATTATGATCAAGGGAGATTTGTTTCATCTATGTAAAATTGGTTTAATTCAACTAATATCTAGAATATATACAAACTCCTATAAATCGACAATAAAAATACAACTCAATAAAATAAGTAAAAGATTTCGACAAGTATTTCACAAAAGGGTACTCCAATTAGCAGTAAGCATGTGTAAAGGTAAATTAAGACTAAACCGAGATACCATTATACAGCCACCAGAAGGACTAAAATTAAAAATACTCACAGTATCAAGTGTCAGTGAGAATGTGAAGCAACTCACTCTTAGAAGTCGGTGGGAGTTATGACTCAAGGGATGTCATTTAAAAACAAAAAACTAAGTTGGTGGGAGTGAAAATTGGTTCAGCCACTTTGGAAAACTACTTTTCGTATCTAGTAAATATGCATGATGCAGCAATTCCACAACTAGATGTATATACCAAGGGAATTGAGTGCTTATGTCGAAGACACGAACAAGAATGTTCATAGCAACTTTACTTATGAAAGCTGAAAACAACCAAAATGTCTACCAAAGAAAGAACGGATAAATTGGTAAATTACTGTCACACTGCATACTTGTACAACAGATTACACTTAAAAACAAAAAAGTCAAACCTCTGATACATGCAACAAACTGGACGAATCTTAAACACATTACGTTGAGCAAAAGAAGCCAGACATACCATAGCACGTACTGGATAATATTAATAACAATTTATAAGAAGTTTAAGAACAGGCCAAACTAACCTAACTTATGGTGACAGAAGTTTGTCACTATCTACTAAAGCTAAATACTCTCACATACTATGATCAAGCAATTCTATGCCTAGGTATACACCCAACAGAAATTGTGCATGTGTGTTCCAAAAGGACACACACACACACACACACACACACACACACGTTCAGAACAGCTTGATTTATAATAACCCCGAACTGAAATCAACCCAATTCTCCACCAGTAGAAAAACAAATAAATACATTTTGGTATAGTTATGCAATCCAGCTGTATGGACTACTACACAGCAATGAAAATGAAAGATAGATAGCTATGTACATCAAAATGAATGACTCTCACCAACATAATATTGCACAAAATAAGTTAGACACAAAAGAATGCATACTATGTGATTTTGTTTATATAGAGGTAAAAAAAATAAGCAAAAGTAAACTATTGTGCTTAAGAATAAATGCTTGGGTGGTAAAACTATTTTTAAAAAGCAAGGACATGACTACTCTAAAAGCAGGGTGGTGGTCACTCTTGAGGCAAGATGGTGATGGCTGCACCAGCAGAATTCTATTTCTCCATCTGGGTGGAGGTCCCAAGGGTGCATGCTTTGTGATAAATCAGTGAGCTATATATATCTTATGTGTACTTTTCTGTATGTTATATTTTCCAATAAAAAGTCTAAAAGAAGAATGTATTATAGACATCTTCATGCCAATAAATATAGAGGAAAATAAGAAAAAAAGAAGAAGCTTTCTGTCATGAAATCTATGAAATCTTGACCACCAAATGCACTTTGAAAGCTTCAGCCTTCGTTGGGTTGCTAGAGGTGCAAATGCACTCATTCCCCTTTGAAATCTAAGACCCTCGTGTTCTGAGAAAATCCAAAGTGTACCTGGCTTTGCAAAACCAAGATCTGATCTAGAATGAAGCTCCAAGTGGGCAAGGAACAGGCCCGATTTTGTCCATGCGATCTCTGCTGCCTGGCTCTGCACCTGTCTAGGACACAGTGGAGACGCAATGGGTACAGGCTGCAAGAACGACCGGCATGGAGCAGACGAGAAAGAGCTCATCTGCTATGTGTCATGATAGAAAAGCCAGCCTTCACCATGAGCAGGCCTGCATCTTTCTAGTGCAGGTGCCCATAGTAGGGTGCCTGGGCTCTGGGTGAGAGGGACGTGGTCCAGGACAATCTCCTTTGGGGGCTAAGTAGGCCTCTTGTAACAAGGTGGCCTGGGCAGGGGGCAGTGTGGAGATGGCCACTAGGGGCGCTGTCTGAAGGTGCCTAGCTAACAGGTTTTCTGAAGCAGTAATGTCTTCGTAGGGTACCTGCTTTCAAAGTTCCCCTTCCGTGTTGGTAGTGCCCCTCTCGTTAGTTCCAAGACATTGGTAGAATTTTCTTAGAAGGTTAAGAAACCTTCTAACCCTCACATTAGCTGTGCTATGAGGCTGCAGTCCATTCTCTGGGTGCGGTGGACACAGCATGGAGAAGTTGTTACCAGCTGGGAAGAGGTCCCCAATAGAGAGGGCCAGGGCAGTGTTGGGATTGACAGTGACACTCAACAACTACGTGAATTTGTATGACATGTTAGCCTTCCCTGGGCACCCTGGGAATATCTGAGGATGGGAGCCATCAAAGCCTGGCCTTCCTGTTTCCCACGTTGGAGGTGGTGAAGGAGAATGTCATTATTGGAATATTAAAGGGCATAATGATCCCGGGAGGCTGGGACCTCGGGGATATTTGAGTTGCACAGGTGGCACAAGGTATAAATGGAGAGAAAATTCCAGACAGACACACAAAATGCATTCAGAGAAAGTGCGTCTGTGCAGCGCTTGGTGTTTCATTTTTAAAGCCCCACTTTGCATAAATTGGCAGAGGCAGAGAAGGACCTGAATTAGGAATCCTTATTTTAAGAAAAAAGGCTGCACCCAATGCTTCTCATTCCCTGATTTCCCTAGAGTAACAAAAACTCCCTGCCACAAAAGCTTGCTTTTCTTTGCACAGTGACTGGCAAGAAGGGAGGGAGGCAGGCAGCTGCAAGCTCTGCTCCCTGCCCCTGCGCTCACCACTCTCCTCCCGCCCCTGCCCCCCTCCGCAGCCCCCTGTGTGATGCTGAGAGCCCAGGGCTGGTGATGTTTGAGGAAGGGTCTGCCCCAGGCTGGGAGGGAAGCCTGGGCCTTTGAAAGCCTCCATGGGAGGGATCTAGCAGACTGTTTCTTCTGCAGGGAGAGGGAGAGAGAGGAAAAGAGAAGAGGAAAAGAAGCTGAGAGAGGAATAAGAAGGGGGTGGGAGAGAGGCAAAAGACAGAGAGCCCAGCGGTGGCAGCAAAAGGCTTCTAAGACAGAGGGGGAAAGGCAGAGACAGATGCACAGAAAGGAGGAAAGAAAGAGTCCAAAAGAAGGAGAGGGATGCAAGGAGAGAAGGGACAGAGAGGAAGACGAGTGGCCAGCCCGGGGAGCAGGGCGGTGGCGGGCAGCGCCTTCTTCGTCCTCTGGCCGAGCAGCAGCTGGTGCGCGATGCAGACCCTTTGACCCACGGCCGACCAAACAGAGACCTCAATTATTTTCAAAACCTGAGATCCTCTGGAGCATTACTGCCACAAACTGGGTCAGCCCTAGGAGGAGGAGAGGTGGGGGTGGGGGCCCAAGTCTTCTATTATCTGATTGGCCTGTGCTGGGTGTGGTGGGGGGTAGGTGCTGGTGGGTGTGTGGGGGGCTTGTGTTCTCTTTCGTCCCACTGTGAAAAGCCACCTCCTGAATGCAACATCAAACAAAGCAACCTTCGCAACATCCAGCACAGCATTGCTGCCCTGCACACATGCACCAGCCCAAACCTCTGTTCCAAGGTGAGCAAGGTAGGATATAAAGTCAGAAGAGGCTATAAAAGCAAGGGACAGCAGGTCATGTGAAATTAGGCCGTGTCAGCTGGAGCCCAGCTCAGGGCCCACAAACCACAGTGAGGGGACAGGAAGGAGTCGAGCTCTGCTTTACCTGCCACGCAATCAGGTCCTTGAGGCGGTTCAGCTTGTCCTGGTCCTCAGGGTGGTCCCTGATGTACTCTTCAGTGAAGAAGGCCTGGGGAGGACAGACAGGAATTTTGGGATCCCTGATCATTTGGTGTGGACCCCACAACCAATCTCTTTGGCAGGGGGAAATTTGGCTTGAGAGGGGCAGGGATGAGGTCACAGGCATTTGGATGAGACAACAGTCAGACACCTGTAGGGACTGACACTGTTGTCTGTGCCTGGAATCTCTGATCAGCTGCAAATTCCAGAAAAGTTGTTGTCAAACTGGGTACCCCAGATCAGCAGCAGTAACATCACCTGGGAACTTGTTAGAGATGTAAATTCTCTGGCCCCAGCCCAGACCTACTGAATCAGAACCTCTGGGGGTCTGGTGGGGACCCTGCAGGCGATTCTGATGCACCTTCCAGTGGGAGAGCGGTGGACAAGAGCTGAGGACAAGAGCTCAGTAGGAGTTTTACTTAGCACGTGTTCCACTCCCCTTGGAAGCGAATGTGGCAGAACCCAGCCTTCTCTGGGGCTCCTGTCCTTAACGAGTGCACACATGCATATGGGCACAGCTTGTCACTCCTCAGGGCTGAGCAAGAGGTTACTGGTAATGACTGCATGGGGCGTCTGAGGGCAGCTGGAAGGACTGACTCCACAGTCACAGTACTACTGTGCTGTGTTCTTGGATTTACGTCAATGAATAACATAGGAAAGATAATAGGAAATTCATCATGAGATTTACTACAATGAGAGTCCATCTTTCCTTTAATGCCTGCTATGTGAAAACCAAGTAAGGATTTTCTATTCTTCAATGCCAAGGAACCCATGTCTCCCTACTAAGAAACTGGTATTCCCCCTGCCACCCCACATAACCGGTGCTATTTCTCTTTTTGCCATGGATACCAGGAAGCTCAAAAATGAAATCTGTGGTTCAGATATGTGGGGTGTTCTGGAGGGCCATTCTGACCTAGACATTAAATTACAGCTAATCTCCTGCTCTGTCTGTCTTTTCATATATTCTGAGTTTCATTTCTTTCCATTCACATCATTTCAAATCCTCTGTGGAAGGGGTTTATCCAAGTGGCATGCACTTCGATTTGTGGTCCCTGTCCTTTTATGGTCTGGCTCACAGTCACCCCAGAGCCTTTCCTTTGCCGAGCTGCTGGATCTGCCCAGTGAGCCAACGGCCTCGTATGAGCCTTGCCCCTGCCTGTCCTAGCACAGGGCGTGGTGACGAGGGAGGGAAGGAGGTGGCAGCTCAGCTAAGACACGAGGCTGAAGAAATGCTGGAGCTAAATGAGGTCCAACCAAGCTGGGTGTCCCTTTGGGGGACAAGGACAGCCACAGTAGGATCAGCAACAGGCAGCCGTGTCTGCCCCCGGGCCCTCCCTCCACCGCTCTGCCCCCCACCAGGCCTGGACCCGGGCCGCTCACCTTCTCATACTTGGCAAAGCCTCCCATGACGGCCGGGTCCACGATGCCGTTCAGGAGCATGGACAGCGGGTTGATGGGGAGGCTCTCGTCGCCCTGGTACTGGTTGATCATCATCAAGATCTTCTCGTTGACCGTGGACATGGTCTCGATGGCGTTCTCCAGAGGACTGATTGTGGTCTGTTGAAGACAAGATCACCAAGAAGAAAGGGCCTTAGCAGGTCGCTTTAAAGACACATTTAATTATTGGTATTGATTTTACTTGGGGTGGGAATTCAAATGAGGTCATGCTCCCTGGGGAGCTGTAGGAGGATTTTGTTGTAATTAGTGAGCTCTGGGGGCTGTCTGCTGTCTGGGGAGAGAAGGGCTGACTGTCTGCTCAGCAAGAAAAACATTTCTCTGGGAGGGCAGAGGCAGAAAGGGTGAGGCTCTTGCTGAGGTTCAGAGGCTGAGTGTGCCCAAGAGAGGATTTGCCCGTCTTACTACTTGGGTGAAACATGCTCCAGCTCAACCCTGCGGGTATTGGCTGAGTGGTTACTAAGTGGGAGCTATTAATTAGTGGGAGAGATCAGAGCAGCTTGCAATGTGAGCCCCACGCCCAGCACACAGTAGAGCCTAAGACTGGTTGTTGGTGGAGGGTTTGCTGTTCCCAGGCAGGTTCGGTTTAGTTGGGAAGATAAAGCTAAATACCTCCCCAGCACCTCTTAGAAAGCAATACAGAGTGCCATGAGATGCCAACTGGCCAAACCGTGTAGTTTGCAAGACAATGGGCTCTAGAGTAAAGAACTGAACTAGAGGTCAGGAAACATTTTCTGTAAAAGGGCCAGACAGTAAATATTTTAGGATTTGTAGGCCAGATGGTCTCTGTTGCGACTACTCAACTCTTGTTATTGTAGGGCAAAAGCAGCTAAGGCAATATGTAAATGAATGAGCATGGCTGTTCCAATAAAACTTTCTATAAAAATAAGTGGCAGGGGAGATTTGGCCCATGAATCATAGTTTGCTGACCCCTGAATGGAACTAAAACAATTAAAACTGAGTGTAAATACTCTTTAATTTGTTAAGACTTGTTTTGTGGATTAACATATGACCTATCCTGGAGAATGTTCCATGTGCACTTGAGAAGAATGTGTATTGTGTCGCTGTTAGTTCAAACATACTGTATACGTCTGCTAGGCCCATTTGATCTAACGTGCAAAGTGCAATGTTTCCTCATCGATTTTCTGGCTGGCTGGTTGGTCCAATATTGAAAAGTGGGGTAACAATATCCCTACTATTATTGTGTTGCAATCTATGTCTCCCTTCTGATCTCTTAATGTTTGCTTTGTATGTTTAGGTGCTCCAATGTTGGGTGCATATATATTTACAATTGTTATATCCTCTGATGAATTGACACTTTCATTACTATACAATGACTTTCTTTGTCTTTTCTTACAGTTTTTTTTTTTTTTTTTTTTTACCTAAAGTCTATTGTGTCTGAAGTAAATATAGCTATCCCTTCTCTCTTTGTGTTTCACTGGCATGGAATATCTTTTTTTTATTCCTTTACTTTCAGTCTATGAGTGTCCTTTATGGTGAGATGAGACTTTTATAGGCAGCATATAGATGAGTCTTGTTTTTCTTTGTCCATTCAGCCACTTAATGCCTTTTGATTGATGAATTTAATCCATTTACATTCAAAGTAATTATTGACAGGTAAGAACTCACTAGTGCCATTTTGTCAATTGTTTTCTGGTTGTTTTATAGATTCTTTGTTCCTTTCTCCTCTATTACTTCCTTCTCTTGTGGTTTGATGGCTTTCTGTAGTAGTGTGCTTTGGGTCTTTTCTTTTTATCTTTTGTTTATCTATTATAGGCTTTTGTTTTATGGTCACCCTGAGGCTTACATAAATCATCTTATTACTGGCTATTTTAACACATTGATTGCCACACTAGAAAAACAATTTTTTCCCCCTTGGGCCACTGTGTTTTACTATGAAAATAGAATAAAAACTTCAAAAACAAAATGATCCTTTCTGATTTAATGAAAAAATTGTTATTTTTTATTGTTTTTTTGTGTAGAATCAAGTTTTACACTGCATGTGAATTGAGTTGTATGTGATGCAAACACACTTATTGAATTTGTTTCAGAGAATGGAGTCTTCATATGCACACATACACACACACACATGCATGGACACACACAGTACACACACACCCTATACCTGCACATGTACACACATGGTGTGAACAGGAGGGAATGCTGCTTGCCCTGGCAGGGGCTGCAGTCCATAATCCTACACACCGAAACCCACAGTCTAATATCTGCCCGGTGCACAGAGCAGCCCTGCAGGAGCTTTAAGGGGCCAAAGCCTAGACTGAGTTGCAAGGAACATCTATCACCACCGCTTGGACTGAGCCCTGCACCGCCTCTGGGTTGCAACAATAGCCCAGCATATCTGAAAGACTCAGGCTTTAAGGTAAGTCATTAAAAATGGGAAGAGCTATTGATTGGCTTTCCTCCTCATTTTTTGAAGCTATTTTTGGATTCCCAGATCTTTATCCTCATCACAGCTGTCAGGAACAGAGAATGAAAATACCTTTGGCTTCTCACCTAAGGACATTTGTATAGACCAAATATATACCTCTTAGAGCATGGTTATGGGGTTATGCATTTGGTGGAAGGCCTGGACGTCAGAAGCTGGTAACAGGAATAAAATTAATGATCATGATATTGAAGATGACTCCATTTATCCATTGCCTCCTATGTGCCAGCCCATGCTGGGCATGTCACACACGTGCTCATTTAATTCTTCAACAGCAGGTTAAGTCACATGTCCCTGGGCACGTGGTGGCAGAGCTGGAAAGAGAACTCAAGCATTTCTGGTTTTTTCCTGACACCACACTTGCCATTAACTGATTTTTGGGACTTAGTCAAGCCCTCAATTCTCTGGTCTCTTTCCTAAGTTGAGCCTCAGTTTCTTACTATAGGTATAATAACCCTTACTGATCTTGCTGCGAAGGGAAAATGAATTATTAGGGGAAAATGCTTTGGAAAAAAATGTGCAAATGTGTGTGTATTTGGGGGCAAGGAGAAGCATCAGACAAAAGAGGAAGTGATCGCAACCCCTGACAATTAGGTGGAGTTTCATATTTTTCAAAGGCATCTCACCAGTACTGTCTTCCTAAATCTCCCTAGGAATTCTATGAGCTGCACAGGAAAGGTGCTGTTATTACTTGGATTTCTGCCTCAGATTGCTTTGGCAGTTTAAGTCCTATCTCTGGGCCTCAGTTTCCTCGTATACAAAATAGTACAGTTGGATGAGAACCAGGAAGAACCAGACAGAAACTGGAGGACTGCAAGGGTCTAGCATTTACCTAGCACGTTGATTCTCACTTTTAAAAATTAACTCAGTGGGGGAAGGGTTGCGACTGCAGTTTGCCACAGTCCCCACTGCTCTCTGATGTCTTAATATGACTATTTCATATATTTTGCCTTATCATTCTGGGCTCTGAAGGTATTTAAATTTATAGCATTTGGACTAAAAGACCCCTAGGATCCCTATCAGTATGAAATTCCATAGTTTTGTAACCGTTATTTACAGAGATACACAGAGCTTGTCCAACATATCACAGAGCTTGCTGATGACCGTGTTGAATTTGGATCTCTGATCCCTGGATCAGGCAGCTCTCAGAGCCAAGAACAAGAAATGAATCCTCAATAAGTAGAACTTACACTTACATTCAATCAGAAAACACCTCTCTACACAAAAAAATACTGTAGTCATGACAATTTATGAAAGAAACAACTGAGAACAAGATGTAAATTCATGGAACACAAACACAAATGCTTGGAAATTGAGTCACACAGCAGGGCATTAAGCTTTTGTGTCTGAGACATCTGAAATTCTTGGTAACTCATGTGAGAAGACTATCAAAGATAAATTCACTCTAATCAATGTTTTGAATGTTTTCTCAATTCTTCTGTCGAAGGTACTGGGGTGAAGGAGCAAGTAAAAAATGTCAACTATTTCTTTCCTAACTTCAGAATTGTGAGTTCATAAAATAAGGTGACCAGTTCAGACATTATGGGTGTCTACATATAGATAGATTGATTGATTGATTGATGTATTTTTCATTAACATCTATTATGGACCTGGGACTATTCTTAGCACTTGGAGGAAGGACAGATATAAAATAGACAAAAATCTCTGTCTTTTTGGAATTTATATTCTAGTGTAGCTTATAGTCTAGCATATTATATTTACTATTCTATTAATTAATATTAAGAATAACAAATAGGAAAATTAGGTAGTCTATCAGGAGATGATAAGAGATTTGAGGAGAAATGCGGTAGTACAGTCTAGCAGGAATGGCTGAAGGAGAAGAGGCGCCTTGCTGAGCACCACCAAGGGACAGAGTTCAGCCAGAGCTGGTGGGCAGAGGCTACAGATTGGTAGAAAGTTTCTGACTCCTTACCTTGAAAACCATGAAATAAACATACCTACAGGATTTTGTGAGAATTAAGTGGGATAATGCTATGAAGCTTTTGACCCTGTACCTGGGACACTCATTAAATTTTTTCATGTGCCGACATGTCCCATAAACCAAGGGCAAAGATACTTTCTTCCTTTCCAGGGTGCTATTTGCTGGGGTGGGCTGGGGACACTCTGATGAAGAAGAGAATGGGTCCAGGCCAGGTGCCTGATATGGGAGGTTAAAGCAAAACCCTACCTCTGTTACTAACATTAAACAACCCACTAATTTACTCTCCACCTCCACTTTCCTCATCTGCAAAATGGGGAGAATAATAAGATCTATCTCACAGGGTCATTAAGGGGTTCAAAGGAACATGTGAACAGTTTAGCCCATACTCAAAACAACGCTTGTTGCTGTCCTCACCACTGTTATACTTTTCCAGGGTCTAGGCAACGCCTATGAAAAGGAGGGCTACTGACCTACTAAATTCTCTGAAGCTGAGGGGGCATTCAGGGCTGGAGTGAGATGGCCCCAATGCTGATAATACAGTAGCTTGAAAACGTGAGTCAGACAACATGCCTTCTCTGCTCATGGCTCTGTCTCACCCAGTGGAAGAGCAAAGTCCTCTTGGGGGTCTATTAGGTCCTACGTGATCTGGTGTCAGACTACTATTACTCAGCCTCACTTGTCTGGATCTGAACATAAGCATGTTCTGGCCCCAGGGCCTTTGCACCTGCTGTTCCCTCTCTTTGATGTCTGCATGGACCCCTTCCTCGCTTCCTCCAGGCCTTTGCTCAAAAGCCATTTTAGAGGAAAGCGTTCCCTGACCACCCTATTTAAAATAGCAATCCTCATCCATCACCTTTCTGGTTCATGTTCTCTATCATGGTTATCACCATCTGGCATATTATGAATTTACTTTATGTAGTCTATCTCTCCCAGTAGAATGTGAACTCCACTGCAGAAACTCCCATCTGAGAACAGTGTCTGACATGTGTTACGTACTCACTAAATATTTTTTTGATGAATAAATAAGTAAGACATCCTGAACATGTCCCCATTTATAAGGTTTCCCCACAACCATGCTGGCCCTTCCCTTGTATCTTGGGAACTACAGGATCCTTCGCTGCCTGAGCTCATGGAGACCTTAAGGTGTGCTGAGAAGCAAAATATATGCCATCTGCACAAGGGAGTTCAAACACTGGGATTCTAGCCAGAACTCTGGCTCTGTGCGATTTCTCCTCCCTGAGCCTCAGTTTATCCAACTATAAAATAGGTTCATAGTGGGATACTCCACAGGTGCTCCCTAAGGAGTTACTGGGATGGAAGGAGTATGAAGGGGTGATCGAGTAGATGCAGTTCCAGGCCCTCTGCCATGCCCACCCCCACTGTAGCGGCTCCCCATTCATCAGCTTTTTTATTGGGTGGAAAGTTTCATTTGTAGGGAATAGAAAAGTTATCTGATGCTTAAAAAAAATCTGCAAGCAGCTACTCTGGATGCTGCCTTGGGTCTCTTCCCGCACTGGAGTTCTGGGACTCCCACAGTAGCTTCAAACAAGAACACGTCCCCTCTGTAAAGCGACCCCCTGAGGTGGGCTATGCCCTGCCCATCAGAGGGAGTGAGGCCCCCACGAACGAACGCCTGACTCACCTGGGACATGTGCACCACCTCGAACCAGCGCAGGATCCCCGGAAGCTTGTACGCAGTCACGAAGGAGGTTCTCTCGATCCACATCGACTGTCCGAGGGCGTGGGGCGGGGCAGGAAAGCAACACACTTATGCAACCGGGTATCCGAGAAGCTTGGCAGAAACCCAGCCAACCCCCCAGCCTTTCATCCACCCAAAGCAGAATAAATATTGCAAGACCCAGAAACACACTCTCACCTTACCCTTAAGATTCTTTCCCGACATGAAGTTTAAACTCACCTTGGACTTAGACCAAGTATATTTTAACCTGGGTTTATTAACAGTCTGAATTTTTAAGCAATATTGAATGTGTCTGTTTGCATGTTCCAGGGATAGGGTCCACGTTGTTCGTTAGATTCTCAAAGAGGCAGTGACCCCCAAAATATTAAGAATAAAGAGCTGAGAGGGACATGGAGCCATGTCCTCATTCCAACCTCAGCCCCTGGGAATAGAAGAAGACAGGTCCTCCTGCTGAACACACACACAGGGGACAGACGCTCAGGGGACAATAATGACTGAGTTGCTATGGCCTCTTACTGGTGTCTGCTGGGAGGTTTGACTTCAACACCCGCCTCTCAGCCTGAGGGTTTCTACCTGCCGGAAAGGGCTGAGTGCCCCGTGGTGAAAAGAATGTATGTGACACAAGGCCCAGGTTCCATCTTAAAAGAGAAAAGGCTCAAGCAATGAGAAGACCAACCCCGTGGAAGAGACGGTGGAATGGGTGTCATTGTATCCCTGGGTTAGTTTTATCTTCTTTGGCTTTGGATCAAGTTCCTTCCCACTCTGAGGCTGGCGGATGCACGCTCTGGTTGCTCAAGGAGGCCCAGGGGAATGAACACGGGTAGGGGAGATACTCACAGCAAACTCATTCTCGGGGTCTACGGTCCCCCTGCGTACAGGCCGGGAGTAGTGGAATCTTTGCACGTGGTTGGATTTGTAAAAGCTGAAAGACAAGAAGAGGCAGAGGCTCCTGGAAGCTGTGCCTGGCTGCGGACACCCGCCTGACCCTGCACTGTCCAGGGAGGCTCATACAGCAAACTGGAGGTCTGGCAGAGTCCGTGGGGTAGCGTTTAAAATCAGGATCTGTGTTCTGGGCTCCATAAAAGTGACTCTTGCACAGGCTTTCCTAGCAAGGCAATGTAGAAGGTAGACTGGACTTGTGTTCTCACGAGAACATGGGATCCCTAAAGTATCTAAGCAATTGGAGTTCTGGCATTAATGCAGATAGGACAGCCTAGGTCATCATTTCTTGTGACTCCAACAAAGGAGCCACAGAGACCTCAGGTCTGAGCCTAATGTCCCAGGGGTGTCCTCGAAGGATTTCTTTAGTTATTGCAGCCATCCCCCAAAATCAGTCTTCCTAAATCCCTAGCGAGGTTCTAACTCGGGTCCGGCAGACGTTGTGCTAGCTGCATAGTTGTCACCCTCTGCTCACCGTGCCCAATCCAGAGGGGAAGAGGAGGCTGCGATCCAAGTGGAGCGACACCTGCTCGGCCGTGGCACTGGCATGAGGCTGCTGGGAGGGCCCCCCCCCTCAAGGAAAGGGCCCTTTCTCTCCCTTTCTCTGACTGCTCCACCCAGAGATGCTGACTTAATGTAAGACACTTAAGGTGCTCCATTGGGTACGGGGGTGTTGGAGGGTGATCTGGGCAGCTGGGGGATGCAGCCTGAGTCCCCCAGAGCCTCCACCTCGTGGCCTCACCAACGACCTTGCAAGCTGACATTGAACAGATGGACACCTGCCTTCACGCTGCTTCCTCTAACGTCCCTTCATCAGAGCCTGAACACACCTACCATCAACGCGCCACCTTCACAAGCACTGAAAAGATGTTCCTTTGGGAACACATGCTCAGCATGACCAAGACCCCCCCGTCCCCACTCTGCCTGTCGCCTGCTCAGCCACACCCTCTGGATGCAGGTTCCTCTGGGCCACTCGGGATCAACCTGAGCTCTCCGCATCCAGTTCAGTGACTCCCCCGGACGCTCCCGGAGTATTCGCTGTGCGGCAGCCAAGCCAGAACCTGCCCTCCCTCTGTCTCCGCTTCAGCCTGGTCAGGGGCAGCGCCTACCTAATTGGGGTGATTCTTCTCCCAAGAGGTAAATCGGGGACAGACTGGCTGGGATAGAGAGGGGACTAGAGGGCACTGGGGCTGTTCTGAGGCCCGAGGAATGGTTTTCTTCCCCACTCGTCTTCCCAGGGTGCTGTGGGTCTTACTTTATGATCTGGTCGGGCACTGGCTTATTCTTCAACCTGGGGTGTTCGTCCAGGACTGGCTGGACAGTGAAACACTGGATGTCTGGAATCCCTGAAGTTAAGGACTTAGAACACATCCGTTGGCTGCAGGGACAGCTCCAAGCCTAGCAGGTCCCAGCTAAGACCTTCCAGGCCAACCCTTCTTTTTATTGCATGATCAAGCTCAGTTTGCTGGCTGCCAACTAGGTACTAATGACCAATGTGCAGCCACCAAGGTCCTTGTCAGAGCTGCCTGTCACCTGAAAACCTATTCCAGGGCTCAGCTCCTGCTAACGTAGTTGGCTAGTGATGTCTCTTAATTACCATTATCATTGCTATATTATTGTCAACAATGATACCATATAATAAATTTATAGCTCTCAATCCATTACAGAACACATCTCCCCATGGCCTGATTTAATCTCTCCAATTTCACTGAGTGGCATTATTAATCTAAATTGTCCCCATGGAGGTCAGAGAAGCCAGGCAACCTGTTGAAGGTCACACAGCTTATAAGAACAGATCAGAGTTTGTATTTAGTTCTTTTAACCCTAAGCTCAGAATTCTTTTGCTCTAGACGCCGCACTCAGAGGTGGGCCTCTGACCAGTATCACCTGAAAGCTATCGAGTCAGACCCTTGGGTGATTTATACACAGACTAACGTTGGAGAAATACCGCTTTGTAACATGTAAATAAATGCCACTTTGCACTCCAACTCTAAAAGTTTGACAGCATCTGCTGTAGCAGAATCATAAGGAGCCACATCCAGGCTCAGTGGGAAAGAGCTCTGTGATCAATTAGTGATGCCTGCCACGGGCACAGATAGTGGAGAGGCATTGTGTGGGCCAGACTCTTGTCATGCCTATTCTAGATCTGTCTTCATTCATTCATTCATTAAGCAGACAATATGGCAAACCAAATGAACAAAGTCAGTGGTCACTGGTCCCAGGCCTGACCCCTGCTTGCCTTTCTCTACCTTCCATTTCTTCCTTGCCCATATCTCTTATTTAGGTATTGAAGTTCTTTCCTCCCTCGATTCTGCCCGATGACCACCCCATAACTCCAAAAAATCATCTCCCAGGCTTGACACATCTGCTGACTAAGGAATCAAGAACTACTTTTGCTGGCTTTCAAAGCCAGGCTGGTATGGCCTTAAGCCACTTTCCCATCATTAATCATCTCTGGATATCCAACAGATCCTACTGCTCCCTTTGCTTGGGACGTTTCCCTCATCACCATCTCTCTCTTATGAACCCTTTGGGTAGATGTCAAGTGTCACAGGCCATAAAAACTACGCTCACCCCCAGCCAGAGTCGTTTTCCTTCCTTTGCCCCCCTACACACTTGTCCGGCTTCTCTCGGGGTCAGCTCCCCAGCTCCCTGTCACCACTCTCCCTCCACTGTCACCCCCGACCCCCACCCCTGTCCAGATCCTGAGCTTTCCCATGGCAGAAGCTCTGGTTCTTTCACATATAAGAAATGGCCAAAGCCTAATCCCAAATTAAATTTAATTGCTTCTCTCTCTAATCAACTTACTCCATGCTAAGATGTTAGAGATTTGATTGTTTTTGAGTAAATCCCAGTGGAAGTGTTTCTATAATCATCAGGAAAACCCTTTTCCTTCTCAAGCCACGTGGCCAGCAGCCTACTCTGGGAAGATCACTCTGGAGTAAGTCTAGGGCAGGAGTTGGCAAACTATGACCCTCAGGTCATATCTGGCTCACTGCCTGTTTTTGTGTGGCCCACAAGCTAAGAATAGCTTTCCTATATTCAAATGGTTAGGAGAAAAATAGTATTTTGTGACATAGGAAAATGACATAAAGTTCAAATTTCAGTGCCCACAAAGCTTTACTGGAACACAGCCATGCCCGGGCATCATGTGGCATCAGTGGCTGCTCTCCCAGTACCAAAGCAGAGTTGAGTGCTGGTGACAGAGACCATGTGGCTCACAAAGACTAAAATATTTCCTATCTGGTCCCTAACAGAAAAATTTGCTTACACTTGTTTTGGAGGAAGTTCTAGGTCATGTCTACTGATTTAAGGCCAAACTCATGACCTCTGGCTTTGGTCCCAAAGGAGACTCCAAACCTGTCCTGGGGAAGCTGGTGACACCAGTACTCTCCAGCCATGCCCAGGAGGATGCCTGGCTAGATTTTCACACCACATGCTGAATCTGTGCATGGAATTGTGGCCACGGATGTTTGAGCAACAATAGACTCCCTACAGAGAGACTTTTGCTTCTAATTGTCTTGCCCTACTTGGATATCTAAGTGAGAAGACATAAGATCTGTCATCCGTCCAACCTGCTTGTCAGCTTTTCAACAAGTAAGGCAAGAGAACAGAGTATTAAGAACTCCAGATTTTGGAAAAAGGAGGCCTGAATTCAAATCCCAGTTCTACCATTTCCTAGCTGTGACCTTGTGCATGCTGCTAAAATTCTTCGAAGCTCAGTTATGTTGGCAAAACCCAGAGAGCAATAATGCCCAACTCATAGGATTATTATGAGGATAAAATAAAACAAGGCATGTAAAATGCCCAGTACATGGTAAGTGGTTAATAAAGAGCATTCTGTCCATCGGTCTTTATGAAAGACAATGGGTTGCTAGAACACAGGTTTGGAGACAGATAGATCTTGGGCTTCAAGCACTGAGTCTATCACTAACTAGCTTTGTAACCTTAGGTGAACCACTTTACATCTCTGCCCTCCACCCCATATTCCTACTTTATGAAACAGCGAAAATGAACAACCCCTTACAGGGGTTTGAGGAAATAATGGTTATAAGCCCTCAGTCCCACAAATAGAACATTTAGCATATGTCAGCCCTTTCTCTTTTCTCTTACACCTGGTTCTTGCAGGAAAGAAAAGGGGCCTAAATATGACAGTATGGCCTAATCATACATGTTCCCTCCCTCACCACAAGGTAAAAGGCCACACAGCTGTTCAACATCAGGATGTCCACTTCAAAGGGCCTTGGTAAGGATGGGCGCGGTGGCTCACGCCTGTAATCCTAGCACTTTTGGAGGCTGCAGCAGGAGGATTGTTTGAGCTCAGGAGTTGGAGACCAGCCTGAGCAAGAGTGAGACTCTGTGGCTACTATAAATAGAAACAAATTAGCCAAACAACTAAAAATAGAAAAAATTAGCCAGGCATGGTGGCATGTGCCTGTAGTCCCAGCTACTCGGGAGGCTGAGGCAAGAGGATCACTTGAGCCCAGGAGTTTGAGGTTGCTGTGAACTAGGCTGATGCCATGGCACTCTAGCCCGGGCAAAAGAGTGAGACTCTATCTCAAAAAAAAAAAAAAAAAAAAAAAAAAAAAAAAACCCAAAGGGCCTTGGTACTCATCCCATACTAATCTCACCTGTAACCAAACTCACGTTTGTAGCCAGCCAGGCCCACCACCAGTTGCACTTCCTCCTGCTCGGAACCAGGGCAGAGGCGGCGTGAAAGGCAGGCAAGCATGATGAAAAGGTCACAGGTGCATATTTATCACCCCAGGGGAAAATACTCGGATTAAGGTTCAGCAGACGTCGCAGGCCAGCCACGGGACCTGTCAACCCCATTTTAACGGCTGCAACTTAATTCGTGCTAACGGGGGCAATGCAGGGAGCGGGACTGAGGGACCGCTCTCCCCGGCTCAGCAGCGGCCTCCCCTTGCGTTTCCGCGTGCTCCCGGCCACAGCGCGTCCTGCCTGCTGCCCCGCGCCAGCTCCTGGTCCCTGGAATGCCACCTGTTGCTGCGTCTGTGTCCGAGAGCACCACACCCCACCCAACCTCACTCGCGTTATCCTGTGTGACCGCAGCCGTGCTCCGTGTCCCCTAGTGAGCTGATTCCCTCCTGCCACCCTCCTCCCTTCCTTTCTCTATTTATCGATCTCTCCTTTTTCCTTCTTTTTCTGCCTTGTTTTCTTTTTCTCTCTATCTTTTCTTTCCTTCCTTCCTTCCTTCCTTCCTTCCTTCCTTCCTTCCTTCCTTCCTTCCTTCCTTCCTTCCTTCCTTCTTTCTTTCTATCTTTCAAATATTTACTGAGCGTCACTTAGCACCTAGCACCGTGGGAGACGGGTGGGGGAATCGCTGCAGGGAACACGGCAGAGCAAGCGTCCTCCCTCTCGGAGCTGATGTCCTCGCTCCCATTCCCGCGCCTTCAACAAGCACAAAAGACAATGACAAATTGAGATCAATTCTCTAAAGAAATCAAACAGGGTTTGAGATAACAGGGTCATGGAGAGTCCAGAAAAGGCCACGTTAGACATTATAAAGGCCAAGGAAGGCCTCTTGCAGTGGGTAGCACCGAGCCAGGATGTGACGGATGGGAGAGCCGGCCGGCCAAGGATGCAGGAAGGGTGTCCCGGGCAGAGGGAACATAGAGTGTGAAGGGACACAGGTGGGGACGAGCTGGGTGTGCCTAAGGGACAGAAACAAGGCCAGTGTGGTCAGGGGGACATGAGAAAGAGAAGGAAGAGTTGGACAGTGACATTGGCAATGACGTTGGACAGGCGGGCAGGGGTTAGACCACGCACAGACTCGCAGGCCTCACTCAGGCAGCGTGGCGCCGTCTCAGTTCTCGGAACCTGCTCCGCTCCCTCCCATGACAGGCCTTGGCACACAGGCGTCCTTCCCTCAGGGACTCTCTCTCCACTTGCCACTAAGCCCTGGCTGGTTATCACCTCAAACGTCACCTTCCCCAAGGAAGCCTTCCCTGCCCTCTCAGCCTCAGTATCCCACATGGCTTCCTCTCGGCATGGATCCTATTTTTATAAATAGATTTGCAGTGGTCCAATTAGTTGTGCAATGCCTCTTTGGCTTGCTACGCTGTGAGCTCCCTGAAGGCAGGACCACTTCGTGAGTGTCAATCTCCAGTGCTTTGCACAATGCCTGGCGGAGAGTCAGGCCTTGAGAGCGTTCATTGCTCAAGTGAATGCAAGAGTGAGAGACTGAGTTATGCAATGCGTGTGACATGTAGAATGCACTGAGGTGAGTTCTTTGAATTCCATGCTGGACACTAAAAGTGGCACCACGGCAGTGAATCTGGCAGCAGCTCTGAGCTCTAAGATGGGTCTCTGTGGGCTAAAGCCCAGGCAGGACTGCCCAGGCTGGCCCTGGGCTGGGGCGTTCTCCAAGGATACACTGGCCTGGGGCGCTCTTCACGGCATCGCCAGGGGCAGAGGTCGTGTTCATCTTCTCTGCATTGGGGAACTGGCTCATCAGCTGCATCTGGAAATCTTCTCTCCGCTCATACTCCTTCCCGCGGTAGATGAACACTTTGTTCTGCAGAGAAATGACACCTATCAGAGGTTCCGGGCGTGAAGGACGTGGCCCAAGCACGGCTGGGGGCTTGTGAGATGACTGTGGGACTGGGGGTCCCCCAGCAGACGCCTCTTCTTTTGGTTTCCCCATGGGGGCAGGAGGAGCTCAACTTGCTGACCTTCTAGCTGGGCAAATCACTGCTTTAAAGGAAGAGTCTGAGTCTAGAGAGAGGGAAGATCGTGGACGTTGAGAACATTCTTGCCTTACCATCCTAGGTACAGCTTCCAGATTAATTCCTAACTGTGTCACACCCACTCTGGCCACAGAATTCCACCCCCCCCCCCATAATGGCGGCAGGGCCTGGGGGGTGGAAGGGCTCGGCCCGCCCCGCCTTCCTCACCTGGCTCCTTGCTCTGCGACCATGGAAACACACTCTCGCCCCTCCCCACCATGGCAGCCTTGCGTAGACCAGTGGCTCTGCGCTGCGGGTCACTTTGCCCCCCAAGGGATAAAAGCGATGCCTAGAGACATTTTTTAGCTGTCACAACTGGGGACGGAGGTGCTACTGGAAGCCAGCAGGTGGGGGCAGGGATACTGCTGAATGTCCTACAACACAGCACAGCCTCCATGACGAAGAATCATCAGGCCCAAAATATCCACAGTACGGAGGCTGAGAAACCCCGTTGTAGACCACATTTGTGCCATCTGCACTGCCTCAAATGGCCCCTGAGTCCTTCTGTCCAAACCCAAGTCTGTTACTCACCTCTGTATACCTGCAGATGGTCAGAGGAGCCCAGGAGACGTTTAAAGTTCAGACTCCCAGGCCTCAAACCAGACCTGCTGAAATGGCTACAAGGGAGTAGGGCCTGGGACAGGTATTTTACCAAGCCCCGCAGGGGATTCTGATGGGCAGCCTGGTTTGGGAGGCCACCTCTCCCGCACCCAGGGAACCCTCACCGTCTACCCTGTCTGCTCATGGCCATCACACCCACTAGCCCACCCTGACTTCCACATCCACTGGTAACCGTGAACGATACATCTGCCTGACTAGACTGGAAATCAAACGAGGTCAAAGATCAGATTTGCTATTTTTTCTGTGTCTTCCTCACCTTAGACTCACAGACTGAAGGAAGCCTGCAGGTGACCTAATCCAATTCTCCACTGATGCATGAGCAAGCCACCAAAACAGTGGCTCAGAAACTGTGCTGAGCCTCTGGGACCCCCGAGGGTCCCCAAGATCCTCCCAGAAGCCCACGGGATCAAAACTGTTTTCACAGTGACACGAAAGCTGCCATTTGCCTTTTTCACTGTCGCTGTCTCAGGGCGTGCAGTGGGGCTTTCTGGGACGTGTGATCACAACAGACTGCAGAGCAGACTTGAGAACCTCGCTGTGTCCCCCAAAGTCCAACGTTAAAGAGATTTGCAGAAATGTAAAACACTCTCACCCTTTTCACTGATTTTTTTTCATAAAATGGAGCTATTTTTTCTAAGAATGCAGTTTATGTTAACATGGGATGGGTTTATTATTATTTTTAAAAATAGAAAAATATTAAAGCTTTTTCTTAGCTTTAATTTTTCATATGGCAAATATAGATACAGTCTACAAATACAGAAGTTCTTTGGGGTCCTCACTAATTTTGAATAGAGAAAAAAGGTCCTGAAACCAAAAGTTCTGAGAACAACTGCTCCGCAGTGACTCCTGGGTAGCAAACATCAGGCAGCCTGTCTGTGAACACCTCATGCCAGTGACGGGGAGCTCACCACCTCACGAGGCAGCTCTAACTGCTGTGTCCTTAGAGAAGCAGGGCAGATGACAGGGGCTGGTGATCACGGTGGCGGAGAGACTGATCAGGGAGGGCACAGCTTCTGAGCACAAGCAGACCCTCGAAGCACAGAGGGGCAGCTGAGATGCCCTGCGCCCTAGTCACCCACAAACTCACCCGCAGGAAGGAGGGGAATCCCTGGCCATAGTATCCGACAGCAAAGTAGTCCGGTTTGGGCCTGAGGATTTTCATGATGTTTTCATAGAATTTGGCCTGTTGGATCTAGAAGAAGAAAACACAGCTTATAACAACACAGACACGTGTATCAAAAGCACATTCAACTCAGAGAGGCCACAGTTAAGGCATTATCGTTATATCAGAACCCATGGGCCAAGTGCACATATTTGTGTATCTGTGGCTATGTCTACAGTCGCAATGGTAATAGCTATTTTTACAGTGTACTGAGTCCTGTGTTAATCTCTCTGCCCGCACTAGCACGCTCACTCGCATTGTCCTCATAACAATCCCACAGGTATCTCCGCTCTGCAGGTGGAGACACAGAATCTCACAGTGCAGCCTGTGAGTGTGGAGCTGAGCCCAGTCAGCTGCAGCCAGTGTCCCCATCACTGCCACTCTGCTCCCACCTCACACTTGTGCACGTGTTTGTGAGGCTATACAGATAGGCATCTCTGGATGCAGATGTTTTCCTGTGTATGCATACCTACTATATTTCATCAGTTCTAAGAGGAGTGTGTTCTTCATATTTTAACATCTCTGAAAACAATTTGAATCTTTCTTACTTTACACCTGATGGCATCTTACAATTGTGGTTGGCCCTCAAGAAATCATGACATGTCACATAAAAAAGAATGGATCTCACAATCGATGGCATTTTCAACTTGGTACAACATGATAGATATATGTGGACCTGGACAGGCGCCTGTGGAAAGTGAACTTCATGCATGCATGTGCACACACGTAAGGGCCTGCATGAATGTGTCTCGGGCAGGTGTGTATGTGTGCATGCATGCACACATTTGGAAGGCATGTGTGCCTCCATGCTGGCAAACATCTATGTGGATATACACATGGGGCAGATATCAAGTGTCTCTTGGTGCAAGGGCGTGTCTATGTGCATTTGCATCGTATCTCACACACAGTAAAAACAGCTAACGGCTCAGTTGTTTTTAACAAGATCACCATTATCTTCCTCCCTTACCAAAACAAGCTATGGATTGGCTTCTAACATTCTGATTCTCATTTTATGGTTCCCTGAAAATGGCTGGACCGGTCTCTCTAAACAGGCTAAGAAGGGGTCTTGGGGTGTTGGCGCTCTGGCGGCCAGGAAATATATGGGGGGCGTGGGAGAGGGGAGGGAAGCAGCCCGGAGCTCTGCATTTCCCTGCAGGGCCCCTCCCCCCGCCCAGGCCTGGCTTCTGCAGCACCAGCAGAAACAGGCTGGCTTCCCCACGTTGCACTGCCCCCACCAAACCATGAGCATCGAGATGTTAATGGGAATAGCCAGATGGGGAGCATTTTAATGTGATTTATCTGTTAATCAGAAAGCACGAATTTGTGTTTTTATTTAATTGGTTTGGTGATTTGTGGAACTTTTACTGCAAGTGTAGCAGAGCGTTCACAGGGCGTCAGCAGCAGCCAGCACACGCAGGTCCCCAACGCTCCGCTGAGGAACGGTCGCAGATGAGTTTCCCACAGTACCTCCCTTTGGAAACATTCCACAGCCTCGCGCAGGTCCTGCTTCCACTCCTTTCCCATTTCCCTAACCCCGTCTGACCCCGGTCCCCTCCCCCAGGCTCTCAGGGGCGGCCAGGGCCCTGAGCACCCCGAAGTCAGCCCTCCCCAGGGAGCCTTACCAGGTTCTGGCTGAGCAGCTCGTAGTCGAAGACCTCCATCTCGTACTGCTCCGCCAGCTCCTTGCACAGGCTGATGGCCTCTTCCCACATCTGCAGGAAGGTCACAGGGACAAAAGTTAGGAGGCACCTCCAGGTTTGCAGAGCCCTTGCCGAGGAAGGGACACAGAGCTGGCCATGCTCCCTGGGACTGAGCCACAAACCTCACTCTGCCCCGTGCCCATCCCCACACACAGGGAGCTGGGGACTTCCCTGGGGGATGACCTTCCTCTGGCCTCTCGCCTAGTACTCTTGATAAATAATGGAGAAGGCACAGACTAAGATAAATATTTTATTTGCATGCTCTCTGATTCTTCACAGCCACTGCGAGATATAACTAACAGCATGTTCATTTCCCCGGTGAGCACCCGGAGTGCAGAGAGGCCCAGCAACCTGCCCCGGTCCGATGCCCAACAGAAAGCAGGGCCAGGCTGCAAACCCGAGCGCGTGTGTCTCTGTAGCCTTGATCTTCCTTCTTTGCCCCCTATGTGGCTAGTGAATGAAACCTCTGACTCCCTCAGCTTCCCCCCAGGTGCTGGCCCAACTTCCAAGGAGTGATGGTTCATAGAGAAGTGAATGGTAGCCCCAAGTCAGAGCGTTTTAAGGACCAAGTTGGGCCAGACCCCAGTTCTCTTGTTCTGTCCGGGGCTCCCCTTTTTGATGATCCTCTTCTTAGCAAGGTGATTTGGTGAGGAGGGGGCAGCACAGAGCTGGTAGTAGGGATGGTGATGTAGTTTAGAAAAATAATTACGAAATTTTTAGTTGGTCTTCTCCATTTTAAAAGACAAAAATCTGAAAAAACAAACTAAACCATGGACCTTGGAGTTACTTTCTCTCTGCTCTGTCCTAGGCCAGAAGCCAATAGATCATCCATCATCTTAGACCTGGGGGCTCAGAGACCTCTGCAGAGAGGCTGGGGAGACGCAGGGCGGACCCCAGATCTGGCAGTCTCAAGGGATACCCTTTGCATTCACCTCTGGTTTAAAATGGAAAATGCATCTAAATGGAGAAGCTGGGGGAGGTGGGAGGAGGAGGGAAGGGAGATTGCCAAAATGCAGCGCGAGCTTTGTAGCAAAAGTGCTCTCTCTGCATCCAAGCATAAAAATAAATAAAACCAAGTGCCGAGTGGAGAAGCTGTGGCTGTAAACCCATGGACTGCGTAGCGAGCAGCATAAAAATGCTTTATGTGCTAGGAGGAGGAACCGAGCTGGGCTGGGCCGGGAACTTCTCTTCACCCTGAACACGAAGGTTTGCAGGGCTGCCCCAGGCGAGGTCAGGGCAAGTCTGGCTCAGGTGGAAGTCTCTCCCACTCCCCACAGTAATAGGAACAGGGAGAGGAAACGTTGTCCCATGTGTTAGGGGATCACTGAGAGACCAAGGAAGGGGCCGGGCAGGACATCAGATGCCTGGATTTCGTCCCAGGTCTGCTGTGTGGCCCCCGGGACTTCCCGACAGTCACTGATCTGTGTGAGCCTCAAACATTCATCACCGAGAGCCTGCTAGGTTCTGGGTGTGGTGTGGTGTGCAGTGACGGAGCAGATACGAAGATGGACAAGGCACAGTCTCTGCTCTCATGGAACGTAAGTGGCAAAGCACACGCATCGGTAGATGAGAGAGCTGGGTTTTGAGGAAGGTAGAGGCGTCCATTGGGTGATGACAAGATGGGCTTATGGAGCGGCAAGCCACCCTGCGTGTCAGCAGCAATGAGTCTCCCTGAGAAGGTGTGGAGAAGGAATGCTGAAAGGGGAGCTCAAGAGTTTAGGCTTCATTCTAGAAGCTTCCACAGTGGTGACTTTGGAGGTGAGCTGTACCCATCTGCTCCTTCCTCTCTGCTCCCAAAGTACTTTGGCACACCCTGTTCCCTTGCTCTTCCCCTCATTATTGCACAATGTCAAAGGGCAACGTTCAGAAAAGATAAGTATGGGCACATCCGTTTTGCTCCTTAAGGTCGTGGTCACGTCTTTTTCCTCTCCGCTCAGTGCAGAGTGGACAGAACTGAATGCCTTGAGAAGGACAAATCTCAACATGTGCTTTCGGGCTCTCACGCTGCAACTGGCCTCATCAGCAGCACACAAATAGCAGGCTCTGACTCGACGCACAGCTGGGCAGAAGGTTCGAGGGATGGCAGGGTCTCTGCCCTCAAGAGGCTTATCATCGTAAATTATAAAAACAGTGTTCTCTGACTGCTTGACTCTTGGGAATTTATAAGCCCTGCCACAGACATTATCTCATTTTATCTTTCCAGGGAAGGTGGAGAGATCAGACTAAGACGGATGTAATGAACTGCAGTGACAGGACAGACCAGAATTAAGTGCTCTGTTATGTCCTGACAAGCCGTAAGAGGCCCTGCAATTCAGAGGAGGGGGCAGGTAAGCCACAGGACTCAAGAAAGGTTTGATGGGGGAAGTGGTGGAGTAGGATAATAAGGATGAGAATTAGCATTTAACAAGGGCTTACTATGTACTGGGTCCTATGCATTTTCTCACCTCATTTTCACAGGCCAACTAGAGAGTGGGTACCATTAGTGATGGGTGGGGAACTGGAGTCTTTAGGAAGCCAGGATGGTGAGCCAGGCTGTCTGGCTCCAGCGCCTGGGCATGTGGCCAGCATGCCCTGTTTCCTATAGGGCGAGTGGCAGCACTTATATTGGTGCTTCCTGAGGGTCCACTGGAGGCTGGAGCCAGGCAACAGCTGGTCTGTCCAATCTCCTGCCAAACCTAACCAGGCACCTTTGCTGTTTAAAGATCAATGATGGCACTGCATTGTCATTCATCCATTTAATTCATTCATTTACCCCGCACATATTTATGGGCCTGCATGACAGGCTCTGTTCTAGCCACTGGGCATTCAGCAGAGGATAAGAGAAGTCCCTGCTATCACTGGCATTCTAAAGTGGGGAGTCACACAAGAAACAAGTAAAAATGAAATGAACAAGATGATGTCCCATGGTGACAAGTGCCTTGAAGAAGCAACAAGGGTGACTCAGGGCAGGGGTGCTGCTGCTTTGTCTGGTGGTCACCAGGGCCTCCTTAGGGCCTGACATCCAAACGAAGCCCTGTGCAGTGAGAGGAGCCCAGCCTTCCCAGATATGGAGGGAGAATGCTTCAAGCTGGGAAGAGCAGGTGCAAAGGCCCTGAGGTTGAAAAGAGCCTGGCATAGAGTACATGAGCAAGGGGGAACCTGGCAGGGCACAGCTCCTGTGGGGCCTCACGAGCCATGGGAAGGGCTGTGTAATTTATTCTAAGCAGAACGGGGCAGCCACTGAGATGACTGTAACCAGGAGAACATGGCCCAATATATGTTTTCTGTTTCCTCTATGGAGCATGATCTGCTGGGGAAACAGAGGAAACGGGGAAGCTGGTCAGGATCCGTGGCAGTGCCCAGGTGAGTGACCTTGATGCCACGAATGGAAGCGGTGAGAATAAAGTCAGAGAGGAGATGGAGAGAAGTGATCAGATGTAGGATTTGAAGGGTAGCTGGCCAGAGCTGAGGATGGATTGGATGTAAGGGATGGGGGGAGAGAACCATCCTTCCACAGCCAGGTCCCCAGAGAGAGGGCAGGGCAGGGACACACACCTTTCCTTTGTCAAAGTAGCCTATGATGGTCTCGTACAGCGTCTCCTTCAGCTGCCGGTGGGTCTGGGGGTGCTGCTGGCCCGTCTGCATGACCTGTGACGCGCACTGCTCGTCTGACCACTGCGCAGAGAAGACACGGGAAGTCACGCGGGGCCCAGAGGCTGCCAAGGACAGCTGTCTTCCCAGGATCAAAGGCACAGACCTCCCTCCCCAGCCCCTGCCCTTTCTTTTTCTCCTCCTCTCCCAAATTCAGCTCATTTCTGGAAAGTCAGGAACCACTGGGGGTGCGAGCTGCCCCCTCGGGCCATGAGTACCCCGGATGTTCGGAGGTTGCGCTGATGTCCCAGAAAGGACAAATGAGGCAGTGTGCACTGTTTGAACCACACTGATGAGGAGTTGGATGAGGCCCTCCAAGCACCCTTTGCTGGCTGCCCCGCCGCCCCGCTCCTCAGTGCTCAGTGAGCTAGAGGTGGCCTGCAGTCTCCCTTGCAAAGTGCCTCCTGCTTTTGCCGAGTTGCACTTATTCGAATCGTTACTGGCTCTCAGTGTGTGGTTTATAGGGATTTACTCTGAACCCTTATGAGACACACTCCTCAAAAGGCAAAGGAAATCATTCCGATTTTGTCCAGCTACAGCAAGGTTTTCAGGAGAAGGAAGGCAGCTCCGTGGGCACACTCACGATTTGTGGTTGATACAGTTTATCAGGAGTCCTCAAACTACGGCCCGCGGGCCACATGCGGCCCACCGAGGACATTTATCCGGCCCGCTGGGTGTTTTTGCCGCCGCTGCCTGTCCTGCTTAGCAGCCGACTCATCCTGGGCCCACAGTGCGCATGTGTGGAATGTGCGCTGCACTCTCCAATGGCCCTCCAACAGTCTGAGGGACAGTGAACTGGCCCCCTGTTTTAAAAGTTTGAGGGCCCCTGGTTTAGATAGTAAATAAAACTGCAAAACATATCTTGGGGGGTTGTTATTGGTGCTAAATGTGAAGGTCACTCAAATCCTTAAGTGAGCAGGTGAAGAAGGGCAGAAAGGTATCCTGCTAGGTTAAGAGTCTGGGGACACAGAGCAAATAAAAGTACTCAGATTATTATTTTTTCTTTCTCTCTCTTTTTTTAATTCTTTAACTTGCTGTGAGGGCTGCACGGGGACCCCGGCATGAATCCCCCTCATCCAGAGGGACAGTACCTTGAGCAGCCAGGTGTGAAGAAGGAGCGTATAGGCGGCCTCTGTGTAATTGTCACAGTCCAGGTGCAGATCTCGGAGTTTGTACAGGTATCTGTTTGGAGGAAAATATGCTGAATTACCAGGTGCAGTGATAAGGAGGCATCTTGGAGGGCCAGGTAGGAGCCAGACAAAGCAACCAGGCTCATCTCTGTGTCACCAGGGAGTCGTCCACGCTGCATAGCCAGCCCTCCCCTGAGTGGGTGACAATGACAACAGCTAGTGTTTGTTGGGCACTTAGTATACTCCAGGTACTATGCCGAGTATTTCAAATGCCTTCGAGTATTTAATCCTATGGCAGCCAGTGAGATGGGTCCATGAGAGATCCTCATTTTCAGATGATAAAACTATGGCCTGGAGAAGTTAGCTGCCACCCTGGCCAGTATTCCACTTGATACTGGCCAACGCAATATGACAAGCATGAGAAATAAAGGAAGGGGAGATAACTTCTCAGAAATTATATGCTCATAAACGGAAGAGTGGGGAATTGGCCCACAGCCTTCATCATTGTATAACTGCAGGAGTATGAACAAGCCACACCAACAGTCAAGGGCAGCTCCAACCCCTCCCTTCCGTGTTCGCTGGGTGTAACATAAGTGCATTTTCTGCTAACAAAAGGAAGTTGATGGGGAGTTAGAGAATGGGCATTCATATGGGGGCCTGGAGCTGTCAGTAGGAGGAATCAGCTATTTAACAGCTATCACACTGTAACTTCCTGTCGTTTTGCAAAGTTAGGAACCCTGTGATGACAATATAATTGAGGGGTATTGAGGACAGGAACAGGAATAAAGGAAGAGAGCTTTGGGAAATTCTTAGATAACTGATCCACAACAGGTATTAAGCAGTAGTGAATTAACTTTTCTGTGCCTTAGTTCACTCCTCTGAAAAATGGCAACACTCACAGAACCTACCTAAAAAGTTACTGGGCATCTAAGGGCCAAGAAGACCATGTGTGACGCATAAAAGGCTCAGTAAGTGACGGCTAGCATCGCTGCAGAAGAATGCGAGTACGCGCCGGACGTGATCGGCCGTGGCGCCATGAGCCGCGACGGCTGTTAACTATTAGCGTCGCGAACCAAGTTCTTCCACAGAACACCCCCTCCTGCCGCTGCCGGAGACAAAATCCAGAGCCAAAGAACCACTGCTTCGGTGACTTGCATATCCTTAGAAACACAGACTTAAGCCCGGCTCTCAGTCATTTGGTGAAGGGACAATAGTGAGTGGCCCTGGGAGGAGAGGCACAGTCCCCCGTGCTGCTGGATTCTGCCCCGATCACCGTGTCAACCTGGGGGACACAGGGCTTCTCCGGCACCTGCTCTCAGCGCACATCTCAGTGCTCGGGCTGAGGCTCTTGTTCGAAGAAAGACCTTCTGCATGGAGCTCACCACAGGCAAAGCCAACATTCAGTGTCCCACGCCACATAAGACAGGCCAGCGGGCCAAATGTAGGCTGCCTGAGCTCAGGGTAAGGACTGCCAAAGGCTTTGAGGGGAGAAAAGGTCACCTAGCAGTTATTTGATAGCTAGTGCACTAGGATGCCTAGTAACCTTTTTCTCATTCATTTCTTCATTCAGCAAGGTTGTATTGAGCATCCAGCAAGTATCACCGTGAATGTTCTGCTGATCAGAGTGAACAGTGAAGAGTTTGGAATTTAGAAACTTGTGTGTGCATCCATGACTTGATCCTGTCATATCTCCTCCTGGCATCCTTTGTCCCTTAGACCCCTGGGTGGCTGGGTCCAAGACGCCTGGGCAGAGCACCCAAGGTACAGTGTCCATGCTCCGAATTCAACTCCTCCATTGGCCAAGGTTCCCTCTACTTTGCTAACTCAAGGGTCTGATGATCACCCTAATGAGCTCAACCAGGGATACCAAACTCAGACTCCTCCAGATGCCAGATGCTTGCGTGATGTGGAGGGGAGGAGGTACAATGGGGAATAGAGATGATGTTGTGATACAGGGCTCCAGCGTCGTCTAAAAGGGCTGCCACTACTCAGTTGAGGTGGCGATTGTCAGCATGGGATGAGGGCCCCGTGTTGTCACACCTTCTGAGTTTTTCAGGAGAAGGAAATTTTGATATTTTTTTTATGCGAAAAAGTCTCTAGATTTTTAAATGTTGGCAACCAGTTAAAAAAATGTTTTAAAATACTCTGCTTGCCAAACAGAACAGATTTTCAGACTATACCCTGTTTGCAGTCTGGTTTAGACAAATATGGTTTTCCTAGATTACTCTAGACCTCAAATCTCCAAAGCTGGTGGAGGCCTGGGATTTGCCATCTGTGTTTCTAAACTGAGAAGGAGAGAAACGAGGTTAGAGGGAGGAAACCATGTGCCAGGCATATTTCTTATAGTATCTCATTTAATACTCAAAACAGAAGGTAGGGCAGAGACATTCTACAGATCGGAAAACCTTAACCCAGAAGGACTGAATAATTTATCCAGGGTCACAGAGTAAACAAGGTGAAGACCCCAAGTCCTTCAGGCCCCAGAGCTTTGTGCTGCTATAATAGTGTCACATCTAATGATGTTATAAATACCCAAAGCTTAGGATAAACTATGGCATTATTTTTGTTTTCCCAATAATAGTTCCTATTTCTGGAGTAATGCTAAACTAAGTACCTAAAAATATCTGCAGTAATAGCAGAGGGAGTTTGGACTTGAAGTCCCTGCCCTCTGACAGCACGTGCCTAAAGCCTTGTAAATACCTAGTTCCTTTACCTTCCAGCGAATTCCACCTCTGAGGCTCTAGCCTCATAAGGATGTGTGCAAAGGTATTTATACAAGAATTTTGTTTTTATGCTATTTATTGTAGAAAAGAGTTGGAGACAACCTAAATGTTCAACAATTTAGGATTGGCTATGTAAATTATGGTGTATTCTGAAAGAGAAATTTTATAGTTTCATTAAAAATGATGTTGACAAGGAATTCTTGTCAAGTAAAAAAAAAGGAGTACATTATGAGTACTATAATTCCATTTCTGCAAAAATATGCATGCATAGAATTCAATATGTATAAAAATATGAATAGGTCTAGAAATATGTATGGATTATGGGGATTTATTTCATTTTTGTGTTGCTTGTCTGTGTTTTATGAGTTTTTTTGTTTTGGTAATAAGTATGTATTTTTTTTTCTGTAATGAGTAAAAATAACAATAATAAAAAAGAAACTTCTCAGAGAAAACATAAGATTCTGAGAAAATTTGGCAAAGGAGTTCTTTGCTCCAGGCTAATGTTCCAAAAAAGCCCTTCATGATATATTCAAATAAATATCTATTAAATGCCTACTAGGAAGCAGACACCATGCATCTGGGTATTTTTTTCCTTTCAAATCTGTATTAGTCAATGGTCCCACTACCAGCCTGGGCTAGGGCTTCACCTGCCAGTCCCACAGCAGATGCAAATGCAACCCACAGCTCAATCCACAAGTAACTACTCTTAAGGAAAATGTAATCTGAGGATATAGCAAGGCAGTATGGCAGGTCAGAGAATTCCAAGTGGTTTTATGGGGCTGAAAAATGAAAGGAGTTGAGTCAGGAGGAATTGACAGGAATCAGAACACAGAGGGGCTGCATGCACCACTCAGTGAAGTTCAATTTGACCCTGAAGGCAGCCGGGAGCCATTGATGGATACTGAGCAGGGACGGTGACACAGCAGGTCAGGGTTTTAGAAAATAAAAATCTTACCTTATGTACATCTCCTCCCTGTTGTTATCTTTGTAGAAATTCTAGGTAGGGGAGGAAAAACAGTGATGAGTGTTTTTCTTTGCAGATGCACAGAGTTCAAGGGTGCAGTTACGGAGGTGAGAGGGAGACTGCTGTTTACTATCCAGGCGCCCTGAGACGGGAGCAAGAAATTTGCTTTCCTGGATGCATCAAACAGCCTAATTGGGAGCTTCTGATTTGAAAGTCACTTCCCTGACCCTTAGACGGTAAGGGACAGAGTAAGCGTCTCGGCCATCACGGATCAGGGGGTGCAGCTCCGTTATGTGCAGCAGGAGGAGGTAGGTTGCCAAGGCTGGGGCAGTCTACTCCGACAAAGCCCACTTTGAAAGGCAGCCCAGCTTTATGTTTAAACGCTCAGGCCTTGCCATTTTAAGAACCTGAGCTGGAAAGCGACTAATAGCATCCCAGTAATAGTAATAGATCAAAGCTCCCAATAGCACAGCACAGTCAGGAGTGATGACGGTGTTCCACAGCCAAAGCATTCAAACTTGGCAATAGCTAGGAAGCCAGGTCCCCACTCCCGCTCAGCGGCCATTTAAACTAGTAGTTGTCCTGGGTTTCACCACCAGAGATCCTGACTCTGTGGCATTTTAATTTAATTTATTTATTTTATTTTTTTATTTTTTTTGAGACAGGGTCCAGCTCTGTCACCCAGGCTGGGGTGCAATGGCACGATCATAGCTCGCTGCAGCCTCGAACTCCTGGGCTCAAGCAGTGATCCTCCTCCCTCAGCCGCCTGAGTAGCCGGGACTATAGGTGCGTGCCACCACACCTGGCTAATTGTTTTAATTTTCGGTTTTTTTGTAAAGACAGGGTCTCACTATGTTGCCCAGGCTGGTCTCAAACTTTTGGCCTTAAATGATCCTCCCACCTCAGCCTCCCAAGGTGCTGGGGTGCTACCATGAGCCACTGTGCCTGGTCCCTGTGGCATTTCTAAACAAGTCCTGAACCAGGAGGTCCTGATCCAATCCATGAGCCACACCGGGAGCAAACCCTAGTTTAATCCAGCATCCCCACATGCACCTATAGCTCAGAGAGGGCAGGTGACACATGCCAGGGCACACGGTCAAGGGGTGGCAGATCAAAGTAAACGTTGCCTCTCCTGACAGCACCTCCCTCCCCGTGCCATCCCGCCCTGCTCCCTGACACGTGCAAGTCACGCACCAAAAACTAGCAGGGTCTGACTGCTTAGGGAACTGTCTGTTAAGCTTCCCCCCTTCCTAGACTGGCTGCTAAAGGGCAATTTCTTCAACCAACTCTGTCTCTCCTTGGAGAGAAGCCGCTAACCTCCTAGGAAACCCCTCTTCGTGCTCTTTATGTAAATTGGGCCTGGTGGAGTCATTAGCAGTGAATTCCTTCCTGCTGCAATCAGGATTTTTAGCTCCCTTTAGCGTTCCAGAAAATCACTGACAATATCTAGGCTGTTGAAAGGAGTCCACTTTGGGTAAGGACAGGCCACACAACAGAACTGAAGGGACAGAGTTTGTATTTCTGGAGCCTTGGGATCGGCAGGGGGGCTGAGGCGATGAACGCTACTTGGGCTCTTGGTCAGTTTGATTCTCTTAAACCATTTTAAGGTGGACTGACACGTGGGCATGAAGCCCTGTGGCCGCTACTGCCTGTCTCCTGACCAAACCACAGAACACGACAGAGGCCGTTGGAGCTGGCCAGGTCCACAGTGACAGGAACTCCAATTATTTGTGTTACTCCTTTCTATAAGAAGAAGGAAACTAACACACATTGAGCACTCAATCTTGGGCCAGGACGACACAACCTGATGAAATAGGAACTATGTTTTCTCCGTGTAACAGACAAGCAAACTAAGACTTCAGAGCACTTCCTTGTTGTCTAGCCTACTCATCACCAGAGGAAGGACGAAAACCCGGGGCCTGCGTGACTCTAAAGCGCATGCTCCTAAGCAGTCGACACTGCCATCTACCTTCTATGAGCCGTGTTAAGTGCTAAGGGGAACACTCATTAGTCCCATTTCACAGGTAAGGAAACTGAGGCATAGAACGGTGAGGTGACTGGCCTCACGACACAGAGCTAGCAGATGGCAGAGCAGGGATTCGATCCCACGTTTGTCTGATTTCCAAAGCCCTTCCCTATCAAGAGCGATCGTGGGACCCAAAGCTAAGCCGGTCCCCCGGGACTCCAGCCAGACTGGACAGCGGGGAGGCCCAGCCAGCCCCACGCACCAGCAGGTTCACGGTGCAGCTCATGCGGTTGTCTTTGCTCTCGTCGGTCATCACGCCCCGGTAATCCAGAAGCTTCTCCAGGAGGCCTTTGACCAGGTTCACGAAGTTCTCCACCGACGTGGCGATGGTCGGGTGCTCCCCGGCACACTCCATCAGGCTGTGGGCAGACGAGAGGGCAGTGAGCTCCCGGCCGGGGGCAGAGACTGTGCTGGGCCGGGCGGGGAGCGAGGGGCGTGGGCTCCCCACTATGTGTCAGCTCATTTATACGTGCATTTACCGCTTAGCACAGCAAGCATTTTTTTTTCTTGAATGGAAAAAAATAAAATAATTCCTAATGCCGGCAATAGTGTGGGAGAAATGGTCACTTTAACACACCCACATTGAAAGGAAATCAGCACAACTTTTTTGGGAAGCAATTTTCACAGTATCTCTCAAAATTTTAAATGCACATATCCTGTGACCCAGTAACTCTACTTCAGGGAATCTGTTCTACAGAAATATTCCCAGAAGTATGCAAAGATGCATTTATAATACTTATAAATTGTGTCTAATAGTTAAAGAGATGGAACCATCTTAAATGTCCATCAACTGGGAAATGGTTAAATAAATTAAGATACATTCGCCAAAAGTAATTCTACAAAGCTATTAAAAATTATTAGAGAGATCAATATGTCTTGGCGTGAAAAGCTCTATAAAATATAGAGTTAAGTGAGAAAAGTAAGTCACAGAACAATATTTGTTTTTTTAATTTAACCAACTGACATAGGGATTACCATGTCCCAAGTATTATCCTGAAAATTTTACAACTGTTAACTCACTTATATTGTAGATGGGGAAACTAAGGCATGAAGAAGTCAACCAAACAGTTGGTAAATAGCAACAGTTCTGGCTCTAGAATCCAGGTGTCAGCCACCAAACGCGGGACGTGTGTGCAAGTGCGTGCCAGCATCATGTCTCTGAGTGGTTGGTCACAAATATATGGTTGTATATATGGTTGCTGTATACAGTCAGGAAGAATAAACTGCAAACTCTTAGTGGGGGCTGCTTCTCACAGGCTCTAGGTAGGGGAATACGGAGGGAAAGCTTTCATTTTTCTATTTAAATAGATAGGTGTATATTATATTTTTAAAATTAAATTTGTTGTAAATTAATATTCTAAAATTTAAAAACAAGAAAGAGTGACATTCTGTACGCATCTATTAGTGGCTGGGCACTATGTGAGGCATTATACAGTGGGGAGAAAGATACCATTATGAAAGTAACCTGCCTACTGCCGCGCGGCCCACAGGCTGGGCAGGGAGAGACAGACGGGTTAAAGTTTTGAGTAACGACTACTTCTTATTAATCACCTATTCTGTTGCTGGACACTGTACTGAAAAAATCCCCCTCGTAAAAATTATTCTCCCCATTTTATGGATGAGGAAATCAAGGCTGAGAAAGGTCAAAGGCCATTCCCAGCATCACTCTGGTAGTAAGTTTAAGTGGTGACCTTGGGAATCAAGCCAATTGATGTTCCATTTGAAGGAGATATTTTCTCGCGGAGAAACACTGTGGTGTACACTCAGGCAACTCGAGAAGACAAGCATTACCCGCAGGTAAGTCCCAAGAGCTCTTGGAAGTTAGGTAAAGGTGAGAAAAACAAGGACTCTGGAGGGTCATTTCCTCCCGGATGCCAAGCCGGGCTGCAAGGAGGCGACGTCTCAAACTGTGGCCGTGATGAGACAAATCCGTCTTCGCCCTGGGAGAACCACCTGTTCCCTGGCTCTCACGTCAAGATGCAAATGGCCCTGTGATTTAGACCTGTCTGGCTCGGTTGCAGCTGTGCCTGCCTCCTTCTGGGACACTCACTTCCAGCCCTGCGTCCCGCCCTAATGACAATGCAATGAAGCTTCTTCCCAGAGTGCGGGGTGTGATTTCTCGGAAGCTCCCAGAGCAAAAGACATCCCAGGGCCTGAGGTTGGCCAGATCAGTGATTCTCAGGCCTGGCTACATGTGAGAATCGCCAGGGAAGCTTTCACGAAGTCAAATGCCCACCCTAAGTCATTAACTTCGGAATTTTGCAGGGCGGGGCTCCTTTATTGCTTACATTATCCAGGAGATTCGTATATGTGGCAACATTAAGAACCACTGGTTTTGTCCAGTGCTCTGCAAACTTCCGTGTGCCTGGGACTCACTGGCATTGTGTTAATAGGCTCTGATTCCTCACGTCTGGGCTGGGGCCTGAGAGTCTGCCTTGCTGACAAGCTCCCAGGTCATGCCAGTGCTGCTGGTCCATGGACCACACTACGAACAACTAGGTTTAGAAGAATAAGGTCTTGGCTTTCTTACTGGCTCTATTTTTTAGATGAGGCAACAAAGCCACTCATGCCATCTAGGAGTGTGAGATGAATGGTTGGTTAGAAATCACCCATCCCTTCACCATCCATCGCTCCACTCGACATGTGCTGCCCTGGAAACCAGGAAGTCAGAGATTGTTAATATACTGACCCCCAGGAGACCACTGTCTAGCAGGGAAAACAGACACAGAGATAAAACTTAGCCATGACATATAATGACAGTACTATTCATTGAGTACTCCCTGTGCTCCACCCCCTGCGCTGAGCCTGTTTCATTGATCACCTTGTTTAATATTCACCGGAACTTCTTACAGTCGGCATCGTCACAACCCCCAATCCATAGATGAGAACCCCGGGGCTGGGTTCCAATGCTGGTCCTGCCAAGGCCACACAGCTATTCCTGTCCTTCCAATCCCACAACGGAGGGTGAGTGACAATGAGGAAGAGCCATGGGAACCGTAAGAAGAGGAAGGCAAACGACACCCGCCTCCTAAACTTCCATTATTCCTTTGAAAACTCTGTGTGGAGCATCTCTTATGTGACAGGTCCTCTTCCAGATACTGAACTGGTTTGGACCCCAGAACAGAACGTAGGTTCTGTCTCCTTCAGCCTTCCAGTTCCTTCACTACTTCTAGAAATATTCCTAGGCATGGAATATTGGAGGTAGGGGTGTGCCTCATTACTCCACGCCATCTGAGACTCACACTTTAAGACATATGTGAATCTATGAGAGTGGGCTCAGAAGAGGAGGGCTCAGGGTAGGGAGGACTGGGGCGCTGTGTAAGGTCGTGCAGCTTGTGCACTGCACAAGGGCACAAATTCATTCCCATTCCACGCACTAAGTCCTGCCCCCTGATGCAAGGCTGCAGCTGCCACGGGGAGGGAGGCTTTGTTCTATTCACAAAGGTGCCATCCAGTTACTAAGCCATGTGCCCACAGGACTGTATTCACCCAGAGGGGCCCTGTGTATCCTCGGAAGCCCTGAATAACGGCTGGGGGATAGGGCTGGAGGAACCGCAGTGACCAGCCCGGAGGAGAAAAGATGGGTAGGCTCATGGCTTCAAATAACTACATTGCTATCCACCTGGAAAATAATATGAGTATCCCTAATTTGAAAATTTGAAATCCAAAGTGCTTCAAATTCAAACCTTTTTTGAGAGCTGACATGATGTTCAAAGGAAATGGCCAATGTAGCATTTTGGATTTTGGATTTTCGGGTTATGGGTGCTCAACTGGTAAGTATAATGCAGATATTTCAAAATCTGAAAAAAATATGAGATCCAAAGCACTTCTGATTCCAAGCATTGCAGATAAGGGCTACTTAACCGGTACTAACAAAAGGTAATGTTTCTGGACCACCTATTCGGTATGAGAAACTGTGCTAAGCATTTAACATGATTTTTCTAATTTAACCCCAATAAACACTCTAAGGGCTGGATAATATATTTTATCCCCAATTTTCAGATAAGAAAGCTGGAGCTCAGAAAATTCAAAGGACGAAGCAGGAACTGGGGACCCTTGGATGTTCTGATGGGGCCCTGAGTCCTGGGTTGGGCTTGGTTAGTTTTCTGCAAAAGTCATTCACAGCTCTATCACCAGAGAAAAACAATGAGCGGTCTTTAATTTCCTCGACCTCAAGGACTCCCTGTATAAATAATCACTCAGGAAGGATTTGAAAATCCTGCTGATGGTCTGAGGACTGCCGCAGAGCCCCATCCGCTTAAAAACTGGCAGTTGCCAGCACGGTACATAGTTTCACTTCTGATCAATATTTAGATTTTCCTGTTTAGAACTTTAAGGTAAACAATGACTCAGCCAAATGTCATGTTTTTTTCCCTTGGGCAATCAGTCTGGATATCCACTCGAGGGCCAGACTACGGGTTTCTGCTCCCAGCCAAGCAGCATTTGCACGCTGGGTGCTGAGTGAGGGCCAGGGGCCAGCTGAGACGCACAGCCTGGGGCTCCTGCCACCTCTGACTGGCTGGACAGGGTGAGGAGGGTCAGCAAGGGGGTCAGAGCGAGGCCTTAGGTTGCTTTTGCTATTAAAGTTAAAAATATTCAAACAAGACTGGGGAAGGATTCCAAAACCAGAGTCATATCAGAGAAGCACGGGATCAGAGAATACACAGTTGGGGGTGAATTGGGGTTGTCTGCCCACGTCCTCACATCTTGGAGAAGGGCTCGCTGGGCAGTTACCAGGCTGCCAAGGACAGACAGGGAGTCAGGCCAAGGGACTGAAGTGAGTCTTTTAAGCATTTACCTGCTATGTGCCAGATGCTCGATAACCATTCAGTCTTCAGACTAACCACAGGAGCTTATTAGCCCCATTCTAAAAACAGGGATACTGAGGCCAGAGATGTTATGTGATTGGCCAAAGTCATGCAGCTGCTAAGTGGTAGAGCCAGGATTCAAACCCAATGTCTTTTTCCGAAGATACACAAACGACCAATATGCACATGGAACATGGCTCAACATCATTAGCCAGCATGGAAATGCGATTCAAAACCACAATGAGATATCATTTCACACCCACTAGGGTGGCTATAATCAATAAGACAGAGACTAACAAGTGTTAAGAAGGATGTGGAGAAATTAGAACCCTGATACATTGCCAGTGGGACTGTACACAGTGCTGCCAATGTGGAAAGCAGTCGGAGGGTTCTTAAAAGGTTAAATACAGAGGTACCACATGACCCAGCAGTTCCACTCTTTGGTAAATATCCAAGAGAACTGTAAGCACGTGTCACACACAAATGTATACAGTATACATGCAAGCTCATGGTGGAATCAATCCTAATAGGCAAAAAGTGGAAATGCCCTAAATATCTACTAGCTGATGAATGAATAAACAAAATGGGGTATATCCATATAGTGGGATATTATTTGACAATAAAAGGAAATTAAGTACTAATACATGTTACATGATGAGCCTTGAAAACATTGCATTATACTACCTGAAAGAAGTTAGTAACACAGGGCCATGTATTACATGATTCCATTTATATGAAATGTCCAGAACAGGCAAAACCAGAGACAGAAAGCAGAGTCCTAGGGCAGGGGAGATTGGATATATATATATATATATATATATATATATATATATATATATATATAGAGAGAGAGAGAGAGAGAGAGAGAGAGAGAGAGAGAGAGAAAGTGGTGGGAGGTAAGGGTATAGGGTTTCTTTCTGAGGGTAATAAAAACATTCCAGAATTGATTGTGGTGATGGTTGCACAGCTCTGTGAATAACCCAAAAGTCAATGAATTGTACCCTTTGGGTAAATCGCATGGTATGTGAATTACATCTCAATAACACTGTTAAAAGGAAATGAGGTCCTGATTCCGAGCCCAGTGGCCTTGAGCACTGTCCACTGTCCCTCGCCTGTCCCCAGCCCGGGTGCCGGAGTCAGGCAGAGCCAGGTTCAGGTCCCACCTTGTCCACTCCGCTGGCTTGTCGTGGTTTCCTCGAACATCGTGTGTATTTCCCTGAGCCTCGGGCCCCCCTCTGAGGAATGGGCATGGAAGAGAGTAAGTGTGATTAATGCAGGCATTCCATAGAGAGCGCTTTACACGGTGTTTTCTAGGGTATTGTGTGTGCTCAACAAACGTGGGTCACGATCAATAACTGTCAAAAACTTAAAAAGTAGAAAAGAAGGGAAAAATAGCGACCATTCTTCCACAGTTAAGACATAATGAAAGTGGACGTTTTGGTGGATTACTTCCCTTTCCCTAACACAGGAAGACTCTTTTTATCTGGCCCATTCCACTAATACCAAAGAAATAGCTACTCAAGAGAGAGAGATGTGAGGTTTCTTCCAAAACTGGAGTTTCTTCAATACCCACGAGCCCCTAGATGGATCTTTGGGCCAGGCCAGAGACACCTGGAGCCCCCCAGAGTCCCGAGCCCCAGCCTCGGCCAGACCCGTGGGCTCCTCCCTCGCCCGGCGCTGCACTCACATGGCTTCCAGCAGCTGCATGTACTGCTCGTCCCCGCGGCCGCCCTCCACCTCGTGGTCCAGCTTCAGGATGATTTCGTTCTCAAACTGAAGGAGCAGGAGACGAAAATCAGCAATGACATCAGGAGGCTGAATGTTAACATTAGTCCATTCATTACTTTAACCAAAGCTTTAGGGAGCACTATTATCTCCCAGGTTTAGTGCTGGGATCTGGGAATGCAAAACGGAACAGAATACCATGTCTGCCTTTTAGGAGTGCCCGGAGAGTGGAGAGCAACAGCGATGATAAGTGCTGGAGCAGAGAGAGATGAAAGAGAGAGAGGGAGGAGAGAGGGAGGGAGGGAGGGAGGGGGAGAGAGAGAGAGAGAGAGAGAGAGAGAGAGAGAGAGAGAGAACTCACAGAGAGTCAGGGAAGGCTCCTCACAGCCCGTGTCATTTGAGCTTGCTCTCAAAGCTTAAGTAGAAATTTTGCAAGAAGATGAAAAGGGAAAGGACATTCCAAGCAGAGGACACAGTGTGTGCGAAGGCACAGAGGTGTGTCACAGAGCCTTGCATCTTCAGGGAATGGCATGCTGTCATGCACAGCTGTTTCTCTGCCTGCCTGGCATTCCTTCCTCCACACTTTGGTGATGAAACCAGCCCTAATTGCAGTCGTTGGCGCTCAGGTGGGCTGAGGGCACCTGCCTAGCTCCAGCTGTGGAGATCTGACACAGGCCTCGCTCCCGATCACTATATGAAATCACCCAGACCCCAGGGTTTATATAGGGCCAGGCCAAGCCAGCGAGACTCTAACTTGAGGCTTTGTTGGAAAACCTGTGTGGGGCCAAAAGAGAATCTTGTCTGGCTCAACTTGGAAGATGAGGAAGATTGGTGAGGCTGCTGCGTGCAGGACGCACAATAAAGAGGCTTCCTCCCCTCCCCCCCTCCCGTCCCTCCACGCCGTTCCCTGTTCCCTTCCCCTCCCGCCGTCCCGCCTCCCGCCGCCCGCGTTGCTTCCTCCTGTCCTCGCCCTGCTCTTCCTTGCCATTCCTTCCTTTCCTTCCTTCCTTTCCTCCTTTCGCGTTCCTTCCTTCTTCCTTGCCCCGCCCATCGTCTCGCTTCTTTGCTTTCTTAATTTTCTTACCCCCTGGGTACCTCTCAGACAATCAACATACTTTCTTGAAGGGCCATCCTGTGTCTCTTCTACATGAATGTCATGCAAAATGGTTTGCACTGTTTTAACATCACACCCTGAAGAGTCCATCAAATTCATGCAGTCCACCCCTCCCCCATTTTATCATTAGAAAAGGAACTGGCGCCTGGAGACGGGAAGGAGGTCATTGGTGAAGGTCACCAAGACCAAGGGATGCCATGGGGACTCCAGGCTCCTAACTGAGACCCTTTGCACTCAGTCTTCACAATACTCCATGAGGCCTGGAGGTCAAGGGTCACCTTTGAATGTGACAATGCATGAGAAGCAGCCAGCCCTCACTTGGCACAACCTTCAGTATGTGTCAGCTGTTATTACAGATGAGGAAGCAGAGGCTCGGAGAGTTTAAGTGACCTGTCTAGAGTCTAAGAGGAATGGCAGAGAGAGACCTCTTGGCAGGCTCTTCCCAGAGCATAAAGGATCGAGCCCAGCTGAGCTGGAATCCGTAGGTGATGAAAAGGCAGGGACAAGATTCACGTTCCCTCTGGCTCACACATCATGCATGATGCCATCAGTCCCTCGCTTTTGTGCTCAAAGGATCAGACCAAGGGACCTTGTGCTGATTTGGCACAAATGTGAAAGAGTTTTCTGTGAGTTGCCACAGTTGGGGAAGAATTATCGAAGGAGACATGCCAGGCCTGGAAAGATGGGAGGACTGTGACAAATATGAAAAGGAAGGGCACTCCAGGTGGGGGAGTTGGTGGGAAGGAAAGAAGGAAGGGAGGAAGGAAGGGAGGAAGGACAGACACCAAGATGAGGGCCAGTCTGGAGAGGGTCTGGGCTGCCAGTCTGCAAATGACTCATGCCCTGTACACAGTGCACCTGCCAGGCATTTTGTTTGTGTTCCGCATTACCCAGGGTCAGGGGCTGTCATGCTTAGAGATGTCTTCTGTGCCAAGGCAAGGGCAGGAAGAAACACAGCCAAGGGACTACACGAACAGGCCCCTCTACTAGGCTGTCTGGCTCCAGATCCCTCCTCTCTTCCCTCCGCCATCTTGGGAAAGCTGGGAGGTCTTTCCAACCCTCAGTTTCATGCTTTTTATCAAGGGCCAGCAAACATGTTCTGTAAAGGGCCAGACAGTAAATAATTCAGGCTTTGCAGGCCAGATGGTCTCTGTCGCAACTACTGGACTGCTGTTGTAGCGCAGAACAGCCATGGACAGCACACGAACAAATTGGCACGGCTGTATTCCAATAAAACTTTATTTACAAAAGCAGGTGGCAGGATGGATTTGGCCTGCGGGTCAGGTTTGTCAACCCCTTCTCAGTACAGTGGGCATAGCAGTACTACCTGCGGCACGGCGTCGTCGGGAGAAGCAGAGATTGTCTATGCTAAGCACTAGCGAGATGCACAAGATCAAGTGTGCGCTGTGCTGGCGCGACTTGTTATCACTGCTCATGCTATTGTTATTACGGCCGAACGTTACTGGAAAGCAGCTCTGGGGGAGAAAACCAGCATTTCTTCCTGTCTGAGTGGTTCACTGGGAAATGCTGGCATGATTCCTCCTGGTGAGATGAACTTTTCTTTGGAGCAGAGAAGTAAATAAGCACTTGTCTCAGGGTCACAAAAGAGCCTTCCAGGAGGGAAATTACAGGATGCCAGGGAACGTGCAGAGCCAGATGACGCCATGCCATGCCTGAGCCCTCCAGGGTGGGCTGGGGGGGTCAAGATCTCAGCTAGACCCATCCCAGGGTGGGTGCTGTGCTCGGGTGTGGCTATGACCACAGGCTTGGCATTGAAAACACTTGGTTTTATTCTTGCTTTGATTTTTTTTATCCCCAGCCATATGATTTTGGGCAAGTTAATAAACCTTTCTGAGACTCAGTTTGCTCATCTATGAAATGGAGATTTTGAATAGCACCTCCTTCATAGTGGTGCTGTGAGAAGTTCATGAGAAAAGACATGTAAAAGGTCAAGCATGGTATGTGGCACATGGTAAGTGCTCCATAATTGTTTAACAATGATCATGATATTATTGCCATTGTTGTGTTGTCATCATCATAGACATCATAATCTCATTTAATCTTTAAAACAGCCAAGGGAGATGGGTAGCATCCTCCCCATTTTTACAAATGAGGACACACATAGCAGGACCTTTGTTTTGAGTTTCCAAGGATGGATGAACTTGAGTGAGGCTAGGCCCAAGGGTCCAACATAAGAAGCTGCTCTTAACATGCACTCCTCCATATTGCTGTGACAGACATTACCCCCAACACTGTCACTATGCAGAGCTTAGCATGCAGCTTGGCCCTTCCAAATTAATTCCATTTTCATTCACAGCTACATGATTACACCTCGCCATTGACTCCTCACCCCACCCCTTCGAGGCAGATGTATGTTGAGGAGTGCTCACAGGTTACTTTCACAGAAGTCAGAGCCCAATATGCATCCACAGATGCACACAGATAATTCCACAGAGGCCCAATATGCATCTTAAGAAGGCCTAAGAAAAAGAAGTGACCTCTAGGAGCCCACACCTCCTGGATGGGCCTTGTATTTGCAGCACACCTTGATTCTGCAGCCTCTCCTGACCGCCTGGGAGTACCTGGACTATTTGAGACATCTGCATACCCAGGATGGTTCCGAAAAGAACCCAACCCGGCAAAAAGGGGAAAATTAAAAAAAAAACGCCCCTCCTCAACTGGGGGGCGCCGAACTTGAAAAAAAAAGGGCAAAAAAGGGGGCCCCGGAAGGCAAAAAAAAAAACAAGAAGAAAACCCCAACGGGAAAGCAACCCTTGAACCCCCTTGGTAACAAAAAGCCAAGTAATCCGGGAAGGGCAAGGGCAAAACCAAGGGAAGGGAAACCGGAAAAGAAAAAGGCAAAAAAAAAAGGAAAACCGGGGGAAGCCCCGCAACCTCCCAAATTTCCTTGGGGCAACCGGGCCCTAATTGTTTCATTTCATCCCCCTAAAGAGCTTAAGGTGGAAATCTGTAGTGGTATTATTATACCCATTTTACTGATGAAGAAAGTGAGGTTGAGAGAGAGTAAATCACTTTCCAAAAGTTATTCCACTTATAAACAACAGGTCTATCTGACTCCAGAGCACTGTCCTCAGACACAGTCTGTGCTCAGTATATATTTATTTAATCAATTTGATGTTTTCCAGATTATGTTCTAAAACATTTGAATCACCAGCTCATTCCATGCCAAGACTCAGTCTCAGTGGAATCTGCCAACACTGATATCTCCATCCATTAATTCATTCAATAAGCAATTATTGAGCTCCTATAGTGTTCCAGGCACTGTTCTAGGTGCTGCTGTGAGATTCTATTCCTTCTTCTCTGGGATCTCCTGCCCGCTGAGGGCTCAGACCCTCGGGGTGACTGGCACACGGGCTGTTCTACAGTCCACATCACAGCTAATCAGTCTCCTCTGTCTCCGTGTCCCAGGGCACCTACTCCTTCCCAGTGGCATTATCCAGAGAGCCTACACCTCCTCCTTCCAGGAAGAGCTGGCCAGCAAGGCAGCTGGTCTACCCAGAGAGCTACTCAAGCTCTTGTTAGCAACCCCACCGATCCTATAACAACATTCCCTGCAATGTTCCTCCCCGTGCTGAGTTGCTTCCCCTGAAATGAGGGGAAATAGGGGTCTGAATCCCTCCATCCATCCTGCGAACACTGACGTGGCGCCCACCATATGCATTTCAGGCACTGCAGAGGTGCTGCGAGTCCAGGACTGGAAGGCCAGCTTTGGCCCTGGTGTGAGGGGCAGACCTCTGAGCAGGTCAAGGTGCCTCACAGGACAGACAAGTGCTATGGCAGCTCAACACAGGCAGGACAAGATACATTTCACTCTGACGGGGGCCCAAGCCAGCCACAGTGTGGCCAACCTAAGGCCCTCTTGCCCAAACTGCCCTTCCACAGCCCTACTAAAGGAGTCATGTGGTGTCACCAGGGACAGGACATCCAGCTCTAGGCAGAGAACAGAGACCCCCCGAGATGGTCTGGGAAGAAAGGGTTCACTCAGAGGGGTAAAGGGTATCAGTCAAACCCATCAGCTCTCTGTGGTATTTGAGTGACAGGAGGAGACAGGGAAAGGTGGCACTGAGGTTGCAAAAGAAACCCAGAGCAGAGAGAGAGAGAGAGATTGCCCTGGGGCCTCCCTCCTCCCCTCCCGCCCCCAGCCCCCAAGATGTTCAAAGTCTAACACCTTCCTGACCCGGTTCTGGGTTCTGGCCTGTGTGTGCCGTCTTGAGCAAATCCTTTACTCTTGCACCCAGATGAGCCACTGCCCCAGGAGGCAGGAAGGGCTTTCCCAATAAAGAGGCCTCCACTGAAGGGTGTCTGGGATCTCTTCAGACAGAGAAATCAAAGGAAGAGCCCATGCAAAGGCAGGAGAGAGAGAGAGAGAGAGAGAGAGAGAGAGAGAGAGAGAGAGAGAGAGAGAGAGAACTTCAAGAAATTGGTATCAGGTCAGAACACTTGGTATGAACTGGAAGCAAAACTCCTGTTAAGTTTTCCTCTCAACTCTGCTATTTCCCTTAAGAAACTCAACTTTTGGAGAGAGAACTATGTCATCTTCTGAGCACCTGGTTATTGTCTTATTTGGTTATTTTGGCATCATGCACTAAAGCCCGTTTGCACTAAAGCCCTCCTGGATTCTAGACCAGTTCTGGGCTGCTTGGGGCTCAGCAGGGCCTTGCCACCTCTCTTTCCTGGGGACACCTTCCACGGCCCTTACCCTGAATAAGAAGTCACTCCTGGGCATGCCTATGCCACAGCTGAGCTCCTACCAAGAACACCAGCTGCGTTTCACATGGGCCTCTGCTCCATTAGTCAGCCTGATTGTCCTGTCTCTTTCGATAAGCGAGCAGCGAGGAGACACAATTGGGGAACACGCTCAGAATGAACGCGTGCTGGAGTGAGCAGCCCAAGGAGTGACCCCAAATATGGAAAACAGGTGGGTGCACCGCTCAGTGAAGCCACGGTACAGGAATCTTTTAGGAAAGGAAAATCATGGGAGAGTCAAGCCTCTGAAGACATGAGGCTGCCAAACACATTTGTCAGGTCGCGATCCAGGCAACAGCCGGGTCCGGTTTGTTTTTAGGACATCGCATACCATCAGGTACTTGGGTGTTCCTTTTGCACAACCTGTTTGTAGGAACTCTCCTAACACACCAGGCTGGGCTCAGAAGTGGATGTGAGGGCAGGCACAATGGCCTTCGTCTCATGGTCCCAGGCTGCACGGACGTTGCTCCCTGCTTTAAAGCCAGCAGATTCCAAACTGCCTTCAAACGCTCCATCCAGGTGGTCACAGTCCAGTCCTCCCTTCCCAACTGCTCAGAGATGGTCTCCTTCTCCATCCAAATTCCTCTGCCTGATTTCTTTTCAGCCTCTTTGCAAAGGGGCTGCTGGTCACTGGCCTTTCTGAGATTAGAGAGACCCCATAATCCCTGAGAGGGGAGAGCGCCTCTCGTAGTGGTATCATCACGGCAAACTAGAGTCTTATTCCTCACAGAACAACTTTCTCCCTAGTGGGAGTGGTAGGATGGTGGATCCAATAGGTGTTTCTTGCACACATAAATTTGAGAAATTAAACAAGTCGACGTGCGGTGGGATGTCTCAGTTAACGCACAGGGAATCATCAAGAGGGGCTGCCACGTGCAGTGGCATTTAACCTCAAAGTGGCACTTATCCCTACGGTATTTAACCGCAAAACCCTCTTCCCTGGAGCATCTTGTTGGATTAATGCTCCACGGGACACTGATTTCTGAAGTGCTGCTCTAGCGATGCCACCGTTTCTGTCACTCAGCCAGTGTTTACTGTGAGACACAGGGACGGGGCAGTGCAGTGCTCATGGCGGGTTTGGGAGTCATGTGACCTATGTGTTGCAGCTTCTGTCCTGCCACCTGCTTGATGTGTGGCTTTGGGCAAGCAATTTCAGCTCTCTAAGTCTCCATGTTTTTCATCTTTAGAGTGGGGCTGACAGTGCTACCTACCTCGTATGACTGTAATAAGGAAGACTGAATGGACTCATGCATGAAAGGTAGTTTTCCCAGCGCCTGATACATAGTGAACATCCAGTTACAGTCAGTCACTGCAATCATCATCATCGTTGTCCTTATTACTAGGTGAGGAGGAGGAAGATGAAGAAAAATGCACAGAAATGATATAAAGCAAGGAAGTGCATAACAGTCATACCTTAGACAGGTAAATGACATAGGAGCAGGGAGCAAAGATCCCTTAAGTGACATGGCATTTGGGATGGGCTTTGCAGGATCAGTAGGAGGTTGGTAGACATTGGCAGGCACGGTCACGGCCATGCAGAGAAGCAGCAGGGGAGGGGGGGCGAAGCATGTGAAGGACACGCACTGACACAGCCTTTCAGATGAGCTGCAGGGACGCCAGCGAGAGGCGAGGTGGGGAGAGTCGGCTGGGATGGCTGAGAGGGTCTTCAGAAGGCCAGAGCAGGGGGGAGGGGGGTGGCTCGAATGCTGGCTAGGGGTTTGGGCTCTATCAGGTGAGCATTAGGAAATTAACAGGTAAGGGAAGAGTAATATCCCTAAGAATCTTAAGGAAAGGCAGTTTGGAATCTGCCACCTTTTAAGTACTCATTTTAAGGAAAATAATTTGGCAGCAGGACATGGTATGGAATGAGAGGCAGAAACACTGAGTGAGGGACCCAGTTAGAGGTAAAACCAGGTGGGGAGGCAGGACAGGCAGGGCTGGGATCGGAGGGCGACACCTGAGGAAACTGCTCAGGCTGCCTTGATGGGCCTTAAAGACCAACCTCCCCAAACGGGGTGAGATCACGGAGCAGCACCAGGCACCTCGTGGGGGACCGGGCGCTTCCCCCACTGCCAGAGCTCCTGGCGTCACTGCACCCAGAAAATGGTCCCCATTCCTCAAGGTTGACCGGATTTTCAATGGACATACTTGGCCAATGGCCGTGTCTTACAGAGGTTCCGGCTCCCTCCGCCCTGGGGGAAGCTTCCTAGGCCCCACAGATTGGCAGATCCCTCTGAGTGACATGCCCTGAACGCCATTTGCCATCAAATCTGACGTGCGGCCAAGTGTGCTGCCTGGCAGGGTTGGCTTTTTCTGGATAATGTAGCTCTTCCAATTCATCCCAAAGTGCAATGCTGGGCCAGAGGGTGTGAGAGTAGGGAGGGTGGGAGGGGCCCTTGGAGCACACCTTTAGGGAAGCTTGGGGCAGAGAAGTCGGGTTCCTGCACTCTGGAGAAAGGGGCCAAGCAAATACAGAAGAAAGTGCATTTTAATCTTGGTCTCGGACAGAAAGGCGTGATAGAATACTGACCAAATCCGACCTGCCAGCTCATTCCAGGCACATGAATAATTGTCCCTACCCCACCGCCGAGCGCGTGAGTGACACTCAGGCAGATGGAACGAGGATATCATTACGGGGAAATGGGCTGGGGATTAGGGATGCTGGCGTGAGTTTCTGGCCTCATTTTTTACCTTTTTGAAATCCCCACTTCTTTGATATTCACACAGCATCATGTCGAAGAAGATTGGTATGGTGGCTTTCCGGAGCTCAGCCTCAGGGATAAGTGTCATCTCTAATATAGGTCCCACCATGCCTGGGATGAAGCAGATTTTGTTCTGGCCTGAAAGAGAGACACGGACACATAAAACAGTTTTGTGAAGCACAGATCCTCCCTAGACCAAGCCTGGGGAGAGAGAAAAGAGAGGCATAACAGTAAAAACCACAGTTAACACTTATGCCGTTGTTTACCACGAACCAGGCACCGTTTTGAACACTTTACATATATTAACTCCTGCAAGAGGCACATGCATCATCCCAAATGAGCCCCATTATTAAGGATAATAACGCGGGCGTGTGTAAAGCACTGCACTGTTTGCAGGGTTTTCACCTGCATTATCTGCTCTGCAAATAGGGCCGTGATTGAATATGTTTATGACAGTAAAGCACAGGGACATTTGAAATTATGTCTGTCTGCAACACAAACTGCGTTTCTGAGATGGCAAAAATGTGCTTCTACCAACTGTTTCATGAAATGAGGAAAGCAACATTTGCTACTAAGAACCTGCTACGTATGCCAGTATGGTCAGTACAACAGTGAGATTTAAAACATTGCTTGAGGACCAGATGAACCACAATTTCTTGTCTTTTCTGCATCATTTCAAAGCATTCCCTTGCACCCCCCCCCCCTCTGGTGGCCCCTGGCATCCTAGCCTCACTGGCCTAGCTCACAAGCCACAATTCCACCTTGCTTCCTCCTCCACGAGGCTTGTGCACACACCGTTCCTTTGCTGGGAATACTTTTCCATGCCTGCTCCCCAATCCACACCCTTTAACATGTGGCTTCCCTTCAGGGGGTCCCATCTTAGCTCAGACACTCCTTCCTCTGGGAGAAAAGCCCCCTGCACATTCCCACATCACCCCCAGCTAGATCAGATTCCCTGTACCGGCTCCTGATGTTCTGCCTTCTTACCCAATTTTGAAATGACGTCTTTATCTGTGGACTCATTTGATTAATATTCGTCTCCCCCATTGAGAGCTTCATGAGAGTAGAGACCATGTCTGCTCTCATTGTTGTATCTGTAGCACTGAGCACAGAGCCTATTAGATGCTCTGTAAATTTCTGTTAAATGAGGACATAACATTTGTCTTGCTCCTACACTCACTTGGGCATGTGTCCCATGAAAGTGCAATAGCGACACCCAGGTGGTGAGAAGATCATGTGAAAATGTATCTGCATGTACGCAGCACAGAGCATGGCAGAATCAGGGACGAGTGGCAGAGTCAGTGTTGCCCAGTGATGAAGGGCACCAAATCTGAACCCAGGCTGCCTGGATTTGTAAACGGACGCCACCATCAACTAGCTGTGTTATGGTGAGCAAGTTGCCTTACCCCTCAGGGCCTCAGTGTGCTCATCTGTAACGTGGGATAATAACAGCATTTATCTCATAGGGTTGTTGTGAAGGGCAAATGAATTATCACTTATTGAGCAGCCAGGACAATGCTCAGCACACTTTCTATGGTGTTGGCTGTGATCGCTGTGATGTTTGGCCACGATGGACCGCGGAAGGCAGACTCGTTGAGTAGAACTGAACAAACTCCTCAGACTGTATCTATCAGAAGTGGCAGACAGGGAATAAAGAGGGACACTTGGGAACTGCAGAGATCTCCGGGGAAGCACAGGTAGGCAAGTTCAAGCGGCCTCATCACTGAAGGTGACACCTTGTATATTTCATCAGCTGCTACCTCTTTCTCTCTCTGAGTTTCAGAGCGCAGGAAGCCCACCCTGGTTTTCTCCGTTGTCAGGATAAAAATTTGTGGTCCTCGCCTGCAGCAGAGAGCTCCGGGGGGTGCAGAAACTCAGGTGCATGGCGTGTGGCCTGGCACAGTTGCTTTCGATTAACGCTGAGAAAAGGAGCTGAGAGGGAAGGCAGCAAGAAAATGAATTTCCATTCAGCCTAAATGAGGCTTAATGTTGGAGTATTTCCCCAGAATTCAGATAAAAAAGGCATCATCCTAGGAATATCTTCAGTTAGTGAGAATGAAACGGTGAAGTCAGGCAGCAAGTAGAGTGAAATATAAAGATTCTTTTCCAGGGAATCAGTTTCATTATACAACCCATGTGTATTACACTTAAGCCTCCAGTCTTCGCTTTGGCCCAGATAGAAAACAACAACAACAACAACAACTTACTTTCTGGCAGGTTTATAGTAATTGCCAATCTAGGTTTCTGATTTCATCCTTTAAGATCCTTTAAGTCTTTTGCAAAACCAGTGGGGTTTTAAAATTCAAAGTCGAATGAAAAAATAGGTAGAAGGTAAATGGGAAACTGTCAGATAAGCTACCATGGAATGGAGAAATTGCTTATGCAACAAAGGCCTTTAGAATACTGGAGGGCATTGGGCATGATAAGGATATATTTAAGATGGTTTAAAATAGAGGGCAGACATGCTGTAGACCGGGATTTTTATATACTTTCGACCTGCGTTCTTTGCAGGCACTTGAGGAGATATTTGGCAGAATAGGAAAGAGGAGAGAGAGAGATGTTGATCTCTAAATACAATGTGATCTCAATGGTTCTCACAATGCTCCCCTAAAGAAATCTTATTCATTTGTGTAAAAAATGAAATGTCAGCACATTGGATATCGTGTTCAATTAATCCAAATGTGTGTGTATGTTGCGTATCTTTATATACATACTATATACACATGTACTGAACAAATTTGTGGCTAATTAAATACAAACTAATTTGGAAAACAAAAGGTCCTCATCCAAGAGACACACCTGCTGCTGTATGCGAGAAAAGGCAAGGAAGGGAATTAGTAGGAGGGTCTTTTTAATATAATTGAAGCCAATTCTCACTGGGAACAGATACCAATTAGAAAAGGCTTTTAAAGTGCCAATAAGCCAGCAGGATAAATCCCAACACCGAATAGCACAGGCTCTAGGAAAGGCTCTGGTGGAAATGCCAGTGCGGGAAGAGCTTAGGTGTGTGGGTGGAAAGGAGTCCCATGTGCTCCCTGGCCGTGGTTTTAATCTGTGCAATGGCCTCATCCATCACTGCTCTCTGGGGTAGACTGTGAGGCGGGAGGCAAAGGGTCTGAGGCCACTGAGATGACCTTGAAAGAACAAAAGGGAGACCTTTGCCACTCTGGCTGAGAATGCAGAGGGGCAAGCCACCGACCTTCTGAGGCTGGCATGGGACAGACGGGCACTATCACTTGGGGGTCTCTAAAGGCTGGTGTGGACCCTGCAATGAACAGGGATGAGGGCAAGTTATAACTCCTTGGATTTCAGAGTCTGGCAAGTCCTCTAGGGACTCTGAAATAAAGCTGGGCTGATAATAAAACATCACTCATTCAGTTCAAAAGGAGAAGAAAGAACATAGATCTCTCCTCCTCTCTCCTAGGCTTGGAAACCTCCTCCTGGCCATGCTCTGAGATAGGCAATCAATAATCCTCTCACTATTCAGGGCATGCCCAGCCCCGCCTCCCTCTAGGCCCCAGAAAGTCTGTGAACCTGACAACCTGGGTCAGGTCCTGCCACTGCCTCCCCCCCACCCCACCTCCAGCCCCCACGGCTGGGTGCCACTATGCTTTTCAGCTGCCTTCTCTGAGCCTCTGTGATCTCATCTGTAAAATGGAGATAAGAAGGATGCCTTCCTGGTAGAACTGTTGAGAAGCTTAGAAGAGTTTATGTGAACAAAGGGCTTTGCACAGTGTCTGGCACTTTAAGGAAAGCTCTGGAAGTGGCGATGCTGATTATGATGGTGACGGTGGTGACGAGTACTTGGGGCTCAGCCACCTGCTGGGCTCTGCATAAAACTATATGGAGAGACAAAGTCCAACCCTGTGGAGGTCTCTAGAGCTTTCCACGGAAATGTTCAGGCTGGTCATTTTATTTGTTCATTTTTAGAGCAAACAGCCAAACTGGGGACAGGGTCGGGATGGATTTATATTCTCTGCCGTGGCTGACGTTCACCACCCTCCACGCTCTTCTCTATCCCGCTGAAATATTTCATAAGCTATCCTCAAAGATGTGTGAAAAGGCCCAATCTGATCATATTGATTCATAGCTTTTGCCCAAGGCATCCCTTGCTCTTGGGACCACGCTCTGCAAGCCCGTTCGGTGCCGTCCTCCCTGTCCACGCCCATGTCACGCCTCTCACCTGCCCGTCCTCCATCCACCTGGTGCTCCCTGCTCCTCCCGCGTGGGCACTAACACGTGTCCGCCTCTGCCGGCTGGCTCCCCCCTCCCTCTCCTGGACCCCAGCCCCACTCCCCACTCCAGCCCCAGCCCACACATGCCCTGCTGCAAGTCCGTCCTCACTTGCTCTCTGGGGCCACACTATTCAGTACTATTCATACTGCCACGTGTGTCTTTGGAGCACTTGAAATATGGCTAGTCCAAAATGAAATGTGCCGTAAGTGTAAAAAATTCCATCAGATTTCAAAGAATGAGTTCCAAAAAAAAAGAGAAACCTCAGTAACATTTTGTATTGATTACAACTAGTAATACTCTGGAATGATAATACTTTGGAATATCAGGGTTAAATATATTGCTAAAATTAATTTCACTGCTCCTTTAGAACTTTTTTTAAAGTAGACACTAGAGCATTTAAGGTTGGCAGGTGGCTCCCATCCTACACTAAAGGACAGCACTGCTGGGAACGTGGGCTTCGGGCGCTTTGGAGTCAAGGCCATCCGTGGCTCACTCGCCAGGCAGGGGTCTGTCATCGATTCTCTGAGTGCCCCAAGTCTCTGCTCGATGGCTGGTCCCCCTTCACAGCCATAATGAAATAACTCTGCAATTAGTCTATACTTAACTATTTAGTGCAATGACCACCAGTCTGTGAGGTCAGCGACGATATCTCTGCCCTGTTTTTGGTTTTAACCCCAGCTACTGGCATTTAGAAGGTGCATGTATTAGTTTCCTGTGGCTGCTGTTATAAATCACCACAAATGTAGCGACCGAAAACAACACAAATTTATTATCTTGCATTTCTGGAGTACAGAAGTCTGAAAATCAAGGTGTGGGCAGGACTGAGCTTCTTCTGGAGGGTCTAAGGAAGCATTTGTTCCCTTGCCTTTTCTAGCTGCTAGAGGCCCCCTGCACTCCCTGGCTCGTGGCCCCTTCCTCCAGCTTGAAAGCCAGCAATACAGCACCCCCAAACCTCTCTGACTCTGAGTCCCCTGCTTCCCTTTGTCACTTAGAAGGACTCTGTAACTGCATTGGGTCCAGGCGGACAGTCCAAGATACCCTTACCATCTGCAAGATCCTTAACTTAATCACACCTGAAAAGCCTCCTTTGCCATGTTAGGTACATATTCCACGGGCCCTGGGGATTAGGACATGGACCTCTTTGGGGAGCACCCACAGCACTCATTATTGGCTGTCAAATGAATGCATGGATGGACGGCCTGTCAATTCCCTTCCCCTTGGTTCCCAGAAGCTTCTCCCCCAGCCCTAAGAAGCCGAGCTGGCTTGGCTGGTCGCTCTCCTGGAATCCCTGCCCTTTCCTTGTCTTTCCTTCAGTCCTGAAATGGTCCACCTTTGGTGCCCAATTCAGAAGCTGTTTCCCCAGATGGAATCATCCTTATAGGCCTTACTTATATCCCTTTTGCCTGAGTCTCTACTGTAGGCAACTATTCAGTTTAAATACCTTTATTGCCACTCTTCCCCACTGGACAGTAGCGCATGGATCGTGCCTTGGGCTTCTCCAATCCTCCCACCATTCCCCAGAGCTTAGCACCGAGCTGGGCACTGCGTAGATGCTTAAGAAGTGATGGCCCAATTGCTCCCACCGCTCTGCCAGGAGCGACCTGCCCACACGTGAGGCTGAGATGCCAGCGACTGGATTGTGCCTTTCTCTCCCATGATGGCTGTTAACAAAGCAGCCCGCCGTTAACCCAGGTGAACGTGGGAGGGTTAGGTGCAAAGTCATTTTAGCAAAATGTGCATTGCTTCATGCCAAGCAGAAATCAAATGTTATGATGCTACACTATTGGGAAAAGTACATTACATTTGGCATCGCCCCAGGATCCAAAAATACAAATGCTGTTAACCCTTTAGTGGCTGTCTCCTCAACAACATGTTGTCCTTCTACTTATGAAGACCTCCCTGCCCACACCTCCTCTCTCAAAACAACACACACACACACACACACACACACACACACACACACACTCACATTTGTCTAGACTTTCCTATGAAGAATTTTAAAGAATCTTCAAGCCTGGATTATAGCTTTGCAATTAGCTATCTTATAATCACAGGGTTGCTCAAGTTGTTCTTGATGAGAAGAAGAAGAAGATGATACTGATGATCATGATGATGATGCCCTGATTGCTTCTAGCATTAAAACAAAATTTAAAAAACTAGCATGCATTATGATTTACTCATTACCGGCAGTCTTTGAAAAACAGAGTTAGTTGGCTATTTTATACCCTTTGAAAATAATTTGCATATTCTTTGAAAAAAATAATTTGTGAGAACATTGAACTTGGAGTCAAGAGACAGGCTCTTCTAGCCTCAACTCAGCCACCGATTTGCTGCTGAACTCGGGGATGTCCTTGTGATTCTCTGGGCCTCACTTGGCAACGTTGCCTATAAAGTCAGCAGGCTGAATTAGATAATGTACCAGTTAGAGATGTA